TATATACATATGTACTATATACTGTATATTTATATGCATACACACATACTAGCATAGACATGTCTCCAGCACATTCTCCGGAGGAACTATACCATGGAAACTTGAAGACATGTGGCGGAGGGCAACAGAGCCATTAACAATCCCCTTGTATATTGGTTATTACAAGGAGTTTTACTACCTGGGTTATTGGGGATTATTCACTAACCCATAGTAGGCAAACCTATGCACCAACTAGCATAATGAGATGGGATAGGGGCCCCTTAATTGGGGTATCTAAAAAATGGCACAACTTTTTTTGCAAAGACCTCGAATTCGGCATGTGCAACGGGGATAGGAAATGGCCTGCAGCGAATTGATCTGTCAGCGGCATCTGATCATCTTTGATGAATCTGTACACAGCTTGTGAGCTGAGCAAGGGTGCTTCAGGAAGGAACTCTGGGGAAAAGCATCTAAATTTGAATGCGTACAGTACAAACACACACACACACAGATATATATATATATATATGTACATAGACTCATAACATGATATTTCGATCCAGATCAAAGTCCCCTGCATCCGTTTTCAACCATGTTCCATGGTTGTTTATTCACATCAACATTCAAAGAACAGCTTGCTCAAATCCGTCGCACGCGGCTCGCCCCACAGCAAGTCGTGGCGAAAAAAAAAGTGGCCGGCACCAGCGGCGGAAGTGAGGCAGCAAACCAGCATGGATTCTACATTATTTAGTAGTAGTTGGTGTTTTTGATCTGTCAAAAACAAACATTCGTTCATATCACTGGCCATTTCAGGAACCTAAATTGGAGGTACCTACCATATATAAGGCCTATATAAGGCCTATGTAAGGGAATATCCCCCATTGTTCATCTGGTAAACCCAATTTAAGTATCATAAACCCCCCATGTTTGATGAATACAAAGCCATTTCTGGTGGTTTGGGGGATGGTTGGAAGCCTCTTGGGGTTGACATTGAAGCGCCTTTTTTGAGCACGAATCTCCGCAAGTTATAGCCCCCAAAAAGCTAGAAAAGCTGGTGGTCCTACTAATTCCTACTAAAATAGTGATAATGAGAAATTGTTTTTCTATCTTTGTGCTGGTTACTACGTAGTAATTCCAAAAACGTGAAATACGATGAACTACAGTAACTACAGTATGCCAATGTGTTGGTGTGATTCAAAACGGATCATGGCTGGTGGCTCTATGATCATGAGCACTTCCGGCAAAAAGTGACCGGTTCCTACGCCAGCATTTCAGGTGAAATTCGAGCTTCTCTGGTGGATTCCAGGGACGTTTCCTCTGGGATCAAATTGAAAGGGTGAAGGTGGCAGGTCAGCACACATGACTTTCACTGTCTATAATATGTATATATATATATATAATTATATATATACATATAGTCTCATATAGTATGTTTCTATACACATGTGTCTTGTTATAGTCCATTATTTATGTGTATATATATATTTCCGCATGATGAAGAGCACCTATACAGCCGGCTTTCACTTGACACAACTTGGCATTTTCCGCAGCCATCTGCGGGTCCGCTGATCCTGCCTTTTTTGTTGGGACACCCCAGACCCTGATGGGGGTTGTATGAAAATGATAACATGGGTACCCGGCCTGGTAAACATACAAAAAGCTATTGAAAATCACCATTTCTAGTGGATTTTACCATTGAAAATGGTGATGTTCCATAGTTATGTGGCTGTTTACCAGAGGGTAATCCCAAATCCCTTGGCTTATCATCTGGTTGGTGGTGCAATGTGCCCATCTTGAAAAATGATGGAGTTCATCAATGGGTTTCGGATGACATCCCTTTTTTATGGAAAATAATCCAAATGTTTGAAACCACCAACCAGTTGTAGTTTTCTCACTGCAAAATAGCCATTAATTGGGTATCCCCATTCTTGGACAAAACCAAATGTATGCTGTTGATTAAATATCACTGAATATCCCATTATAGTATATTCCCCACATCACGGACGTTTTATGCTGTTTTAATGTTTTTTGAAAGACGGTCATTTTGGGATATTTACCCAGATATCATGGCTAAAGAGTCATTTGAGCAGTGTTCAAACCCTCTGTCATTCCATATATTGGTTGGTTGCAGTAGGATTTGCGATGATAATCCCCAGTGTATGTTGGATAGTTTGGAAACATAACCCCGCAATCCCAACAATCTCCCCGTATGGTAGATGGTTGAAACCCCTAAAGTTGATGCTTAAATCCCATTCAACAACTACTCAACCAGTCAGCAGCCCACATTTGCTGACGCTTTGCGCTGAGCCACCAGCGCCTTGAAGTGGTTTACAATCAACTTTTGCAAATCCACAATGTCCTGCTGGAGGGAAACAAAACCAGGGGGGGTTCATGGCGTATTCACCAAGCTGCTTGGGGATATAACTTGTCTAGCAGATTGAGATATAACAATCAGATAAAACTCATTTGACCATCAAACATTGGGGGATTGAACCAACAACACTTGGGATGTAACTATGAACACTTGTCATGAATGGGGTGTTCACCAACCTAGTTGCTTGTGGCACATTTGAGCTAGCTATCAAATGTAAAGAGATTTCACCGTCGACTGGGATTAGGCTATCAACAATTCCCATAGATGGGGCTATTCGCATCTTAAGAAAGCGATAACTCACAGATCACCTAAATATGGCATGCGGAAATATGCGGAATATCTTATGGGGATTTATGGGGATATGTTATAGAATTTGAGCGATACGGAGGGCGATAATATGGAGGGTTCTTAAAATGGGGAACCCTAAAAGTCTCCTGTCGTCAGTGGGAAACGGAAACTCATGGTGAAAAAGAGTGCCCCGATTTTGAGACAAACAGACAACAATAGCATATGTATAGACACATATAACTGGTTGGTGGTTGACCTACCCCTCTGAAAAATATGAAAGTCAATGGGAAGGATGACATCCCATATATGGAAAATAAAACATGTTCCAAACCATTATCAGCAACTCAAAATTCCTGGCTAAATCACAATTTAGGTCGGTTAATATACAACCTCTTTTATAGTCAACATCACCTTGATATCACCATGTGTTTCACTCTGTTGTTGTTTCAATCCCTGCTGCTTTGGCTGCTGAAAAAAAACAATATTCGTTGGTGAAGATTGTTGATACCTAAGCTTTACGGCTTGATATCCCCATCCGGCCCATACGTTATATATATGTATATACCATCTGGTTATTTAACATAGCCATGGAAAATCACCATTTTTAATAGGTAAACCTCTATTTCTATGGGCCATGTCCCATGGCTATGTTAAATAACCAGAGGGTATATATATATAGTTGGTGGTTGACCTACCCCTCTGAAAAATATGAAAGTCAGATTGGATCATCATCCCAGCTATTGGGGAAAATAAAAAATGTTCCAAACCACAAACCAGATATTTATTTATTAGAATTGTAAAAAAAAAAAAGGCAATGTGATGATTGATCATCTCCCCAAAGAGACCATTTTGGCAGATTGACATGCGTCCCTCGTGCTTAAAAAAGGTGGATATTTGGTGGATCATCCTACTTGGCAACTTGTTGGTAAACTTAGTAATATTATATTATATTATATTTATATTTATATGTATATTTATATTTATATTTATATTTATATTATATTACAGTATATTATAACTTTATATATTCCATTACTATGAGATAACCCCACGAATTGGGGATTTATTCGCCAGGCTTGTTCACCACCTCCGCAGGACGATCCATGGGATGATTCGATCGTCCTTCACCGTCGCCGTGTTACTGCCACGAAGCTGGAGGACGGCCTACCATCTCCAATGACTTGCCATTTTTATGGCTGGTAAATGGCTGGTAAATGGCTGGTAAACCAAGCATTCCCCAATGGTTGTTAATCATTCCGGGTTTTTTGCAGCATTGGCTTTCCAAAGCAAAATAGGTTTGGAAAATGATCAAACCAAACACTCTTGAAATTCAATCCACCAAATAAAATGTGGTGGTTTGACCTACTAAACTGGGATTTGGAAAAATCATCAAAAAAATATGGTTCATCAACAACAACGCCGATATGAACAGCGGTTGTACAAAGTTGATGGAGGTGATGGGGATGAGCAGCAGTGAACATCCATAACTAACGACTAGTTTGCTGTTGTGACAAGCAGGGATCCACATTTCGATTCAAAACCACATCACAAAAAGATCCGTTCGATCAATGATTAAAATAACTGGGTGCGATGAATGATAATCCGATGGTTTGGGTTTGAGTTCCATTGTGTTTAGCATGGCGGCTGTGGGGCCCAATGTGGGGGAGTTGCTGCATGTCCCCAACCTTGGAAAATGAACATGTGCCATCGGTTTCGACAAGCGGCATCCATGAAAGACGCAAAGGAGAGGCTGCTCTTTTGGCCAAAGATAAAGTCGGCCAAATCCACCAGGGCAAAAACGTCAACACCCACCTCGCTGAGTGTTCTCACACACGTTGGGTTGGTCAACCTCAGTCTGACCAAAAAACGCGCGAACTCCAAAGTAATCCACGCAAAACCACGTTCAAGGTCATGAATGTAGGAAAAATATGGAAAATAACATCGATCATTGCGCTCTGATATATTGACAATCCCTTGGAAGTCCAAGGCTATACTTAGTTTAGCCTTTGGCAAAGCCTAAACTTTGGCATGAAAACCTATACTTTGCCCATGTTTGCCATGTCTAAAAGTGATTTCTTTGTTGCAAAAACATTCAAACCAGCTTTCACTACAAATACCATGGTTCAAAAAGGGCAATTTCATCAGACATCGAATTCCGGGGAGTTTCATCCGTATAAGTGCCTGAATTTGATGAAGTTTGTTGGTAGAAAAAAAACAAGTTTTGCTCAAACCTTGCCGATCGGGAATTTCAAATAAGTTTTACAGGGCATACTTGCAACACCTACAGAAAACAAAAAACTCAAGTTCCAGTTCCAAATGTTTGTACAAATTGAAAAAAATATGCTAGCTCAATCTGACAATTTCCAAATCAACAGCATGCTGCAGGACCATGAGCGGGCTTTGGAGGGACCGACAGTTGGGATTTTGGAGATGGCCTGAATTGCACACAGGCAAAGTCCATTTGAGATCCACTCACACGCCGGCTTATCGTGGTTCCTTTTATCTTTGGAAAAAATGTTTTTTTTCTTTATTTTTTTTCTGTTATTTTTTTTTGTTTCTTTTTTTCTTTATTTTTGTTGGTTGCCTTCTTTATTTTCGTTTTTTTTTCTTTGTTACTTTCTTTCTGGCATCCTTCCTTTATGTCATATTTCTTATATGCACTGTATGACAGAGCGGCATCACCAATTTTCATCCGCTCCAAGAAACATTTGATCGAACTCTTTTCGTGAAATGCTGCCATCGCCATCCTCGTCATTCAACGTGGGGATGTAACATGATTTAACCAATAATATCAATAATGGATGTGGGTTTGTCCAGTAATGGGGGATACCTAGAATATCCCAGAATAGCCTTTTGCTCGGGAATATGACAATAAACCAGTGGATGCAAGTATGCAAGGGAGACCTTTTTGTCAACTCAGTCTTGAACGTGATCAATATTGTTTGCGGGCTGCAAATCTGAAAATCTCACATATCTCACATCATACTGATATCATAGTGACATCATACTGAGCGAGTTTCCCGTCTTACAAGCTATCACGGTCTCCCAAAACATGCCAAAACCACGGTCGAGCAGTGCCCAAATCTGTCCCATGCGTCATCGTTGCGGTCGCAGCAGTTCGGCCCGGGATGGATGAGTGTCAAGATTCCAAGGTCCAATCGATTGTAGATATTGTAATGGTTACCCTCTGGTAAGCTAACATAACTGTGGAAAATGGCCCATTTATAAATGGTTCACCTATTAAAAATGGTGATGTTCTATATATATATGTGTGTATATATATATAGCTATGTTAGTTTACCGGAGTGTAATATCTCATTATATTACTTTACTTCGTGTGATCCCCACCATGACATTTATCGATTTGTTACTGGCAAATCTTCTGGCATTCTATCTGACATATCTTCTGGCATTCGATCTGGCATTCTATCTGGCATATCTTCTGGCATTCTATCTGGCATATCTTCTGGCATTCTACCTGGCAGATCTTCTGGCATATCTTCTGACATCCTATCTGGCATTCTACCTGGCATATCTTCTGACATCCTATCTGGCAAACATTCTGGCACTTTATCTGGCATACCTTCTGGCATTTTATCTGACATTCTATCTGGCATACCTTCTGGCATTCTATCTGGCATATTTTCTGGCATATGTTCTGGCATTCTATCTGGCATTCTACCTGGCATATCTTCTGACATCCTATCTGGCATTCTATCTGGCAAATCTTCTGGCATTCTATCTGGCAAACATTCTGGCACTTTATCTGGCATACCATCTGGCATTCTATATCTTCTGGCATTTTATCTGGCATATCTTCTGGCATTCTATCTGGCCGTTGAGGTCCAGCGGTGCTCACTGAGCTCAGAAGGTCCCAGGTTGAGGTCCAGCGGTGCTCACTCAACTCGGCAGGTCCCAGGTTGAGGTCCAGCGGTGCCCAGTGTGCTCAGACCCTTGCAGTTGAGGTCCAGCAGTGCCCACTGCGTGCGGAAGTTGGCGAAGAGCTTGGCGAAGAGTTGGCAAGGCGGAAGTGAACATGGAAGTGGAGGCAGAGGTGGTGGAGGAGAAGGAGGAGGAGGAGAAGAAGAAGAAGGAGGAGGAGGAGAAGAACAATTCTGATAAAATCTAACAACCCTCACCTGGCAGGTGGGGAAAAATAACTAGCTGGTGGTTTGAATCCATCCCAAAATATCAGTCAATCGGTCAATAGGGAACATCATCACAAGGATGGCAAAATGCTGGAAAGCGCTAATCACAAAGCCCATAGCTTAGCCTCTGATTACGAACAGCTTTTACTCATGAAAAAAGCCTCCGTTCAGCCAGGAGGGCGTCGGATTCCGGGCCCAACGTGGATTTCCCACTAAAACAAACATTGAGTTCGATGATTTTCCGATGACCCGTGGGGTGATGATTCCCAAATCGCATCCAGAATCTTCGTCGGCTTGCGCATCCAGTAGCAACTGCTTCAACAAGGACTTCACCTCAATGGCAGGAAAATGCAACTTGAGCAGTTCTGAGCTGCAAAAATCATGGGGATAATCACAAAAAATGGGAAATCCGTCCGAAAATCCGTTGGATTGTGGTTTTCTAAATACATTTTAGTGGATAATTCTTGGGGCAAGCCATCGAACTAAATGATAAATGGGGAGCTAGTGGAGATCTAACGGATGTTAGATGTGATAATTGATCGAGACGTGACCCGGTAATGATATGGGAATTCAACCAAAGATTACGGGAACATCATGGGGATCGTGGTCGGGAATATCTCCCACAATATGGTGATAATCACAGTGATATTTATGGGTTTACCCAAGCTGTCATTCCAAAATACTGGTTGATTAAAACAGAAGAAAAATCCCATAACTGATGATGATAGTCTACGTTTTCATAGTATAACCCTTGCATTCATCAACCAACAGGTCACAAGAAACTCATCCAAAATAGCTGGTAGTTGTGGTCCAGTCCATCTCCGAAATATGTTGAGGTCTTTGACTCATCTTCGCTGGTGATCCCAATGTTTGTCTGTAGTTGAACTACTCGCTGCAGCCAATAAACGGCATGATCCTCCACTTGGATTCTGGTTGGTTGATGATTACTATCCCGTTATTTTTGTGGCTTGCTTCGTGCTCCACACTTAGTCAGATAGTAATCATCGGATTCATAATCAACAATAATCAACAATAAGCAACAATAAACAACCATCAACAATAATCAACAATAAACAACAATCAACAATCATCAACAATTATCAACAATAAACAACAATCAACAATCAACAATATGACACATCAATGCTTAAAATCCTCATGTTTTAATGGGTATTACATGGTTTTACCAATCACCCGAGGCTCCAAATGGCTCATCTCCCGCCGGTGTTTTAAGGCCCCCGTGCAGATTTCAGCAGGATCTCTTCCTTCTCGACCGCAGAGACTACTGTGACCACCTCACAGAGAATCCCCACCAGCCTTGGGTGCCGGGATGTTTCGCAACGTTCGGATGTATCAACTTGTATGAAGATGTATCAACTATGAAAAAAAACATCTGGCGGAATCTGCGATGAACGATTTTGAGTTCTTTGATTAGAACGATTTTGAGAGGATACAGAGTTGGTTCAATTCAAAAAAAACATCGGGAAAAACACAACACAATTATATGTAAAATTGGAATCTGTGATGGATGACTCTTATGATGCATAGGATAACCAAGAATCCTCTGTGAACTGCGAGAGAATGCAGAGCTGGGGGGCTTAAATCTTGATGTGTTTTCATGAGTGGGTCTGGCTGAAAATTCTGTTAAAATGCTCCCAAAATGGCCATTCTATGTTCGGGAAAAATGTTCATTAGATTTCGTTAGCCATCAGTTTAGAGAGGTAAGGTATGTGTGAAAATGGGGTGTACCCTCGAAATTGCAATTGTCATAGGAAAAATGATACAGTAATAAACCATGGGTTTGGGGATGTTTGGGGATGTTTGGGGATGTTTGGGGATGTTTGGGGATTATCTTATTTCGAACAAGACATAACAAACCCATATCTGAAATCCGGGAGCAATGATCTTCGTAAGTTTTCCATGATCTTGAGGCGGTTGTCCCACTAATCCTGACCATGGTTTTAATCCCTCCACCAATCGAGAAACTCAAAAAGGCCAGCATGTATACCAAGAGTTCTTCTTTAAGTGTCCTACCCTCAGTGTCTACCGGTACCTTTACAAAAATTGCAAAAAAAAATGCGTATATCATTTTGATGCGATCATCTGTTCGTATTTGGTTTTGGCATGGTTTGAAGTTTGGTGGATGTGTTGGTTTCCGAGGCATGGGTTTTTGTTCTCCCTTCATGACACACTCATTAACAGCCCAGTAACATATTCATGACCGTTAATGATGCCAGCAGCATATAGAGAAGCATCAGGGGATAGAGCCTCGGTGAAATCCGTGGATCAGAACTGCGGGCCGCGGGTTTGTCAAAAACGCCGAGCTTTTCCAGAACTTGGTGGGGTACCCAAGTCTAATTCAGCTTTCCAAATTCATGAAACATATGAAAAACATGTGAAAAAATGAAAAAGCCTTTAAACTCAAGCCGGCTGCGGTCAGAAGGTATAGTTGAAACTATATTAAATAGTGAAGCAGCGCAACCTTACAGTGGGTGAGTTCATAACATGGAATAAAAATTAGAATCCTTCATAATCATCGAAGTAATTATATCTGAGGATCATATATATTTCATCATATATATATATATATTTCTACATCTTCCCCGGTGGAATATCTCCATTCACATGGCCAGTGTTTTTCGTTTCGACGACAAGCCACAGGGGGTGGGTTTTCCCGGCATCCTCCACCAGGCTGGATTGGTCGGGGAGAGCGCCCGCCAACAGCAGGGTATTCATCGATTGCGGCAGGCTTCTGAAGCTGTCGTAGGCCAAGGAGCCTGCTGTTCAGAAACGTTTGTTGTGATGATTGCTATTTTTTTTCTTGAGAGAAAATTATGTGATATTATGATATTTTTTGCACACTTGCTGAAAAGATACATGATGTATGTAATTGAAGATCTCTGAAGATCAAAGTAGTTTAATCCACGACAAGCCTTCAAGAGATGGGGGATGCAAGGTGGTATGCAACACATACACTAGAACATACTAGAACTGTCGGTATTTCCCTGAATAGGATCGACTTTGTCTCCTGTTTGAGATCTGACGAGAACAGCCAGTCTCGACTGCCTGGCGGTTGGTTCTTGCCATCCAATAGTTGGGTGAAGAGCAAGCCAAACAGATAAACAAGGCCCAAGAGCAGCACCATCAGAAAGAACACCTGGGCATCGCGGCACCATCCGAAATCTGTTCTTTGAAGTCTGAGTTCCAGAATGGTCTGGCCCAAAAGCCAACAATAGGCGGCTTCCAGGGAGCAGATATTTGACCACATGGGTTCCAGTCAACAGATAGAACATGATAGAACCAAGTTTGGATATGTTTGGATCATGATCTGGCAGGATGGAAAAGTGATAAAATATTGAACCTACTCCCTCTTTTCGACACACCCCATACCGAAACCGCATGTTCTTTGGCCTGTCATGGCCTGTCATAGAATCACTATGCACATATAATTACCATAGATGCTTTGTCTTGTGGGCTACATTCCGGACATTTCCCGTGGCCAAGTGGCTGAACGGAGGGCAATGGCAATGGCACGCACGATGATGAGCAACTCAGGAATGCTCCTCGCAGGGAACCCTGCAAAACATCTGCGATCTAGAAGTGGAGAAGAGCCCTTCCCAACACCCACGGGCTCCACGGGCTCTACGGGCCCGGGCCCTTACGGGCGCTCTACGGACCCTACGGGCCTTACGGGCCCTGCGAGCCTTACGATTACAGACCTCATACATGGGGATGAAAAGACCTTATGATATTTGAACAAGGATGGAAAGATTCGAACGTACTATATACTTGAACAAGGATGGAACGATTCGAACGTATTGGGTTTACTACTATTTTACGGAAAAATTGGGTGCACTACTACTTAACAATACAAAGCAGCCGACTCTTTATATATAGATTATGTATTCATCAAAATATACACATACATATCTATACAGGTGTGTATATATATATATAGAGATATACATGTGCATACAAACATACATACATACATACCATACCATACCATACCATACCATACCATACCATACCATACATTACATACATACATACATACATACCATAACATACCATACCATACCATACATACAGACATACAGACATACAGACATACACACATACATACATACATACATTACATTACATTACATTACATTACATTACATTACATACATTACATTACATTAATACATACATACATACATACATACATACATACATACATACATAGATAGATAGATAGATAGATAGATAGATAGATAGACATAGATAGATAGAAAGATAGATAGATAGATAGATAGATACATTACATACATTACATACATTACATACATTACATACATTACATACATTACATACATTACATACATTACATACATTACATACATTACATACATTACATACATTACATACATTACACACATACATACATACATACATACATACATACATACATACATACATACATGCATACATACTTACATTACTTTCATTACTTACATTACTTTCATTACTTACATTACATACATACATTACTTACATACATTACTTAGTAACTTACATGCATTATTTTTTCCATTACATTACATTACATTACATTACACTACGTTACGTTACGTTACGTTACGTTACGTTACATACATACATACATACATACATACATACATACATACATACATACATACATACATACATACATACATACATACATTACATACGCATATATACACAGAAATTAGGTTTAACTACTGGGCTCAGCATAACTTCCTGTTTGTTGTTGCTACGCTCTTGACTTTCAAACATCATTTCCTGCTACGTTCTTGCTGCTACGATCTTGGCTGTCGAACATTACCTTGACTTTCCAACATAGCTCCCTATACTGTGTTTGTTGCTTTGCTGCCTATGGTTTCGTAGTTGCACACGAGCGGCAATACTACCACGGATGACGCCCTCGTCGACCGGGCCCAATAAAAACTCGTGGGCCCAGTCCGTGAACCGCTCGGCTCTGGTCCGGATGTACTTGGAACATCCAGACCAGGAACCGTGCTGGCCATATCCCCAGTCCTGGAAGGCAAATCGAATGCTGTTGTTTTGCGTTGCTGCTGTCGTTTCGTTTGATTCCCCGTCGGTCCTCCTTTAAATGCCACATGCGAACTGTGGGCGGAAGGATTGCGATCACCCGGTGGTCGCCTGCGCACAGACGCCCAACGTGATTGCAACTCACAAGTGCATGACAGCAAGTGTAGTTGCCAGGCCTGGCTTTGCTTGTGCCGCCGCAAACCAAAAGGCAACAAGCTGCGAAGCCGACCAAGTAGTAGGACTAGTAGTAGTAGTAGTAGTAGTAGTAGTAGTAGTAGTAGTAGTAGTAGTAGTCGGAGTAGTAATAGTAATGGTAGTAGTAGTAGTAATAATAAAATAGAAATAGTAGTAGTAGCAGTCGGAATAGTAATAATATTTGTAGTTGTAGTAGAAGAAGAAGTAGTAGCAGTAGTAATAGCAATAATAGTAATAGTAGTAGTAATAAAATTAAGAGTATTAATAGTAGCGGCGATAGGAATAGTAGAGGCAGTAATAGTAATAGTAGTAGTAGTAGTAGTAGTAGTAGTAAAAGTAGTAATAGTAGTAGTAGTAGCAGTAGTAGTAGTAGCAGTAGTAGTAGTAGAAGTAGTAGTAGTAATACTAATAGTAGTAGTAGTAATACTAATAGTAGTAGTAGTAGTAGTAGTAGTAGTAAAAGTAGTAATAGTAGTAGTAGTAGTAGCAGTAGTAGTAGTAGCAGTAGTAGTAGTAGTAGAAGTAGTAGTAGTAATACTAATAGTAGTAGTAGTAATACTAGTAGTAGTAGTAGTAGTAGTAGTAATAGTAGTAGTAGTGGTGGTAGTAGTAGTAGTAATAATAATAGTAGTCGTAGTAGTAGCAGTAGCAGTAGCAGTAATAGTAATAGCAGCAGCAGCGCGCCTCGTCGGCGGTGCTTCCAGGCAGTGGAGGTGGTTCCGAGCCGGTCAGGCCGGTTTCGTGCCACGTGGGTGCTTCCGAAACCAGCCTGCCGTCCGGGCGGAGGTAAAGGGCGCCGCCATCGGCGTGCTGGTGCTTGCTCCAACCGGCAGGGAGCTTGCCGGTTGGGCAGGGGGGGCACCACGACCAGGGCAGTCCGTCCTGAGCGGCGCAAAAGGGATGAGCGGTGACTAACCATATAACCCCGCAATGATAAGGACAAAGAACGCACGTAAACACAGAAGGGACGGGAAAGGGACAACAATAAAACACGAGACTGGTGAGACAAAGAACACACGTGAACACAGAAGGGATGAGGGGGGGTGAAGGGTAAACTCCCCTGAGATCGGACTATCAAAGATTCCCTAGACAACACCCTAAGTTCCAACTGTGTGTGGCGCTCTAGACAAGTGAACAAGCAAGTGTGTGAGCTAGTGCAAACGGTCTACACTGCAGTGGCTTAACCCTGTGAGTGCGAGCGGAAGCGAGCAGCTCTCTTTTCACGCTAGGACTACTGTACAACACTGTATGTCTTGAGCCACATGGCACGAATGAAACATGAGTAACATGGTGAACCGTGAGACATGGTTAAAACAGTAATAAATACCTGAACTACGGACATGTTTACATGAGCATTGCGTAGGCACATAAACAACAAGTAACCCCAAAAGGAACCAGGGGGAAAACAGAACACAAACAGACACAAATTTTCTTTGCGTCATAGCATGCAATGCAGTGAGACAGATCGTCCTACGGAAGCTACTGGTACAAAAGCGAATGGCCCTCTATACACACCATTGCCGGACGAGTACCTTGAATGAATTCTTGCAGCCAGGCAAATGTGGAGCACGACCGTTCTATCGGTATTGTCCACAACACTTCAAATATTTTTCTCACAAGCAAGTTACACAGCCCTTGGCCCGGTGTACAAGCAAGCTAAGATTTTCTCCAAGTAATTTTTTTGTTTTCTTGTCCCATTTTGTTTTTCTTTGTCTTCAAGGATGGAATCCTTTGGTAAAAAAACACAAAGATGCTATATGGATCCTGTGATCCTCTTGAAGTACTGCTGTAGTTCCAAGAAGATTTACCGTCGTAATTTCCATATGATTGTCCCTTGCTTTTTCCTTTTTCTTTGTAGGTGCCTTTTTCTTGCTCGGTATATCGAGGCTGCGCTGCCTTACCTTTGCCCTTTGGGTCTGGACGACTCTGAGATCGCTCGCGATAGCGAGACTCCTCTTGCTCTCTTGGTGCAGCTGGCCTCCTTGGCGCGGTGTCCGCAGTGACATGTTTGGCTTTTCTTGGAGCTGCACGGGACCTGTAGTTGCGAGTGGCTCTGGGTTTCAGCATCGCAAGCAATGGAGAGCGCCAATCGGTGTCAGATGAACTGAGCCCGAGGTCAATGCCTAAAAGGTATTTGGGTCTCTCCTTGTCCTGCAAGAGGTATTAGGTGTCTCTAACGAGCGGGGCTTCGGACGTTATACCGTCATTCACCCTTTGTTCATAAATTCTCGCTCGTTCCTGCTGGATTGCAACCTGCTTGCCGTAGCAGATGGAAAATGCAATCATGCAGTCTGAGTCGTTGTCAAGTCTCATTTGAGATTTGACCCATTCCTTGTGCTGTGTTGAGGAAACCACTTGGTAGGTTATCCTCTGAGCATATGTGCGCTCTCTGTTCGATGCTTCAAGGGTCCTTTCCAGAATATCTGTGAGAATGCAGGTGTGAAAATCATTGCAGAGCTTGGCCTTGAAAGCACGTTGGGCAAAGAGATTTCCATCGCCAGTTATGTAGTCGCACTGGCTTGCGATGGCGGCAGCTACAAACTGTGTCCACGCGTACACTGACTGAGAAAACTGCAGCCTGAAAGAATAGGAATTTATGTGAAATACCGCTACTCGGGCTTCTGATAAGCCTGTCCGGTGGACAACAGTTTCATCTCCGTATCTGTAGACCGGTATATCGGTACTAGATACTGTCATTTCTGCGTCAGGCACCATGTGGATTACGCCAACTGAGAAGTCATTGGATGAACTTATGGGGCCGCTGTGAGGTTCGATTGGCTGGGAACTTGACGCAGCCGCCGGTATATCGGCACGGCTCATCCTTGTTCCGCTTTGGCGGTCCAGCATTGTCCCCTCGCTGGCGTTGCCGAAGATGCACCGAAAAATACATCCGTGGAACAACCACATGACGTTTGCAACGTTTTCGGACTGGTGGTCCAGGTGCATAATGAGTTCGACAACCGCGCCTTGAGCTGGGGATCCGCGCAGAAAGCAAGCGAGTGCTGGTGCTCCAAAGTTGGACTCGCAGACCAAGCCAAAGCAGCCATTATTAATGGCAACCTGCCAATACTCTTCGATCCCTCCTGCCTCGCAAAGTGCAATTATGTGAGCGGGATTTCTAAACACTATGTAGGGCAGCACTTTGTATTCTGAAGTCTGGTATGTTTTGGACAATTGTTTTACTCCTCCGAGATGTACCTTTCGTCCAATTTCTCCAAGGTGCAGGATGAGAAAGTTGAGGGAGTCGGTTTCGGCATGTACATGTTCATGCTCCTTGTGTGTTGAGCCCCGGCCGGGCGCCAGCTGGCTGCGACAATAGTTGATCACGGCCGTTATATCGGCATGTGTCACTTCGCTCCAATCAGCTTGGTACAGTTGCACAGGTCTGCTGATGTCAGCTGGGTCAATTGGGTTCTGACTGGCCCAGTGCTCTTCTGGAGTTGGGAAGTGACCAAGATCATAGGACGACTCCACTGATTGAACCTGCCTGCGTGAGTTCTTCAAGGCTTTATCAAGGTTGGGGTTTCCAGTGGTGCCTCCATGCATTACCTCATTGAGGAGGTCTTCAAACATGTCTCTTCTGGCTTCTTTAAGATCCTTTTGGGTAGTACCAAATGATCGTGCTGCAGCCTTAGCCAGCTTCTCGAGTGTGGAAGCATCGTCCGTGATACCGGAACTAGCATCATGACCCGGCGCGATACAGTCATGCATCAAGATATTGCATTGGCAACCAGCATTGGCGAAAGCGCATTTGGCGCAAGTCGGAATTCGACACTTGCTGCAACAGAAAATTGCATCTGCACCACATACTGGGCATTCCTGAGCATCAAAGGTAGGTGCAACAGGCGCTGGTGATTTTCTTGGCACTTTACTGCCGCTGGATGCACTTGGCTTGATGGGTTCATCTCTGACGTCTCTCTTGGTAGATGCGGGCTTGGCCGGTTTATCGGCGCTTTCCCCAGAACGACCAGCCGTGATATCGGCATACTTGGGAGAGGCTGGGAACTTAGGAAGTTATAAGTTAACTTAGCGGGAACTTAACTTAGGCCTATGTTAAGTTCAAGCTAAGTTCAAACTAAGTTCAAGCTAAGTTAGCTAAGTTCTTTATATGCTTATTTTGCAAAAAACATGTTTTCATTCATTTCATCCCCGTGGCAGCATTTTTTTACGACATGAGCCGAAGCAGCTTGTCATTGTCGCTTCTGTGAAACATTATTTTATTTGTGGGTTTCATCTCACTCGCGGCAACCAATTTCATGCTTTCATTGGCTGCAATCCATGCCGTGCGACCAACATCGGTGTGCAAAGCGGCTTGGAAGACCTTGACTTGAAGGTAAAATTTGTCTCTGCAATGCCATGCGCCATGGACTTGTACCGCGTGGGTTTCCGTCAGCTGCACGAATTGATTTTGGACGTATTTGACCCCTTGAATTTGAATTCCTTGGGCAAACAAACTTGGGGATCCAATTTCTGGAAAAGCTTTGCTCTTGGAGGTTCCCAACAAGCATGTGCCAAGCACCGAAGCATCCATGGAAGAATGCAATTCCCGCGTGACAAGTTCCAACAAACAAGTCTGCGCAAAAAAGGGTGCCAAAAAAGATTTTTGAGCCAGGCGCTTGTACCCCTTATGTTTTCGCTCACAGCAAAAACAATCGATGAATTTTTGCACCTTTTGAATCTGTTGACTCAGGTGAAGGCCATAATGTGCTTTTGGTCTGATGTGAGTTGCCTCGTAGGCTGCAACATGAGATTGGAAATGTTTCTGCTGCAAAGGCAACAGCTTCTCGACATCTTTCACTGCGATTTTTAAATTCCACAAGCACAAAGCCACGCGATGCAGAGCGGTTAAGGAGGCGTTAAACGTGCGCATCTCATCGCATCTCCTCCATGTCTTGCAACACTTCATCGCAGAATGCCACGCAGATGGGTAACACTGCAGCAGTATAGAGTGCGTCGCCTCTATAGTCTTGGTCCTCTGTCAGAGTTTTGAAGAAAACAACTGGGAAGGACATGCAGGCAGGTGTTCCATCGCGGATTGCGTTGCCATAAGGCCGCATAGGTCTGCAGGCTTTGCAACGTCGTAGAAGTCCGCTTAACAAGTTGAGAAAACCACAAACCTATTTCCTGGCAAACTAAGCCATTCGACCACATGATGTGCATTGCATCATACATGAAGTTTTCTATGCTAAGCCACCCTTGGAGCGCGGGTGATTGCAGTGGGCCATGCAGAAGACTTTGGAAGTGCCATCCCAGAAACTTTTCCGTTTCTTGGGTTCTTACAACTCCAACTGCTTCATGCAAAGCTTGCACGGCTTCTTCGATCGTGGCTGTTGTTTGTGGCCACCAAGCGCCTGGATCCATGGACGTAATATCCACATGTCCTCGGACACCGGTAGCTTTGCCAAGCTGCAACACATTCAAACAGCGCAGACAAGGCTTCAGGCCACTTGCGCCCTTGGCGCCTGTGCATGAGCGAAGGGCTTCAGCGTCTGCAATGACCATGACTTTGTCAATCCACAATAGCCGGATATCATCCCCAAAGCTTAGTGGGATGCCATGTTGTGACTGTCCACGGACATGCTCCAGGATCCGTCTGATGACCTCAGCCATCCCATGTGGCACGCTTTGAATGCAGGAAGACTTCGCAACACTCAATGTTAGCCACATGTTCTCTTGGAACAATAGCGGACATTGCAGCCAGGACACATAACATAGATTCGACTTTCTACTTTGCAAGGCGGACAAGACATTCCCACCTGACACTTCGTCACAGTAGAATACCAATGTCAAACGGTCCTGCTGAGCAGCCATGGCTTCACGCAGCATGGCGCTATACAGTGGGCAAGCATCAATTTTTGCTTGCAGCAAGTCCGGCAGATTCATGACCGGAATGCGCACGCTTTCGCCATCTGCTGCCGTCATTGCCAGGTGCTCGTAGCGCGGAAAGGCTTTGGCATAGGCAAGATGCGGCCTTTGACATGTGAACTGGCCTGACTCATCGTCTTGCAAGCATTGAATTACTTTGCGGCTGTCAACACAGCTCAAACCTGTGCTGCGAAGAACTTCAAACTGCTCTTGCTTGGAAGCATGGCAGTCTAATTTACGTCGCTTCCTACCGTCATCTTTCATGCTGTGTTACTTGAGCCGCTGCATAAAAGCAATGAACACCGCTGTGAAACGTTGGCACGCAAGATCAATTTTGGAATGCATCGGTCATAATTTGTGCATGACGACTCTTCACTGTTTAACCAGGACAACCACGGGGAGTCCTGCACATATGAAATTTGAATGTTGCCATCTTGCAATCATGAAAACTTGCTGAGGCGACGACGCTGGGGTTTTCGGCAACATGCTGCCAAATACACTTGACAGCAGTGCCTTTTGGAGTCAAGCAGAACTTGAGCTCCGCGGCACCCCGAAACAGGCAACCTGCAACACGCTGCCCTTGGAATTATATGGCTGTGCCCTTTGATTTCGTTTATTGCTGACAAAATTCCCGGCCTGTCGGGTAGTGTCTTCCGGAGAAGCGGCCGCCAAAGGTACAAGGCAAGGCAACAACCTAGAATCACGACGTGCTGTTCCGCAGTTACTTAGTTGGCAACACGCAGCAAGACGTCTTTACACACAATACCCTGCTGAGGTAGGTGCTGAAGACGCGTCGTCGCCCTTCATCTGGGCATCGGCGTCCTGGAGGTTAACAGCGACATAGCACAATGATGTGTGCATACGATCCGTCCCGGTATGTCCCGGTCTTAGCCTCCTCCATCGCAACATCTTGCTGCTTCCGAGCCCATACCATCTTAGAAGCCTAATCGACCATGTGGTGGGTTGTGAAAGTGCTGTTCCGATCATTGGTCAGTGCTTTTTGCTTGGGCCCGGACTGGCATTGAAGCACCTGAAACACGGAGCGGCTCTCAACCCAGCATGGAAAACAATGTAGAACAACCGACCGTATTTTTGGTACGCGTTTCTGATACCAACATCTGAGCTTCCAACCGTGTGAAAGACAAAGCGAGCTAGACACGCGAAAGTTAGCGCTGCGAGGAAACAATGTGGTGTTTTGCAGAAGCAAACTTCATGTCAACGCTTTTCGATTGCCTTTTATATCATGAAGCCAAGCAGATTACACAATCGGACCTTGAAACTAAATCATCCTTCCGCTCTTGACTTTCAAATATGACTTCCTACTACATTTCTGCTGCTATACTCTTGGCTTTCCAACACAACTACCTGTTTGCTGTTGCTACGCTCTTGGCTTTCAACATCATTTCCTGCTACGTTCTTGCTGCTACACTCTTGGCTTTAGAACCTAACTTCCGACTAGTTTCTGCTGCTACGCTTTTGGCTTTTCAACCAAAACTTCCCACTACTATGTTTGTTATTGCTACACTCTTGACTTTCTAGTATAAATTCCTACCACGTTCTTGCTGCTAGGCTCTTGGTTATCCAACATAACTTTGTGTTTTTTGTTGCTACGCTCTCGACTTTCAAAACATTACTTCCTACTACACTCTTGCTGCTACGCTCTGGGGGTTCCAACATAACTTCCGAATACGTTTCTGCTGCGAAGCTCTTGTCTTTCCACCACAAACTCGCCCTATTATTTTTTTTGCTGCAATGCTCTTGACTTTCTCGCATTACTTCCTGTTGATTGTTGCTACGCTTTTGATGCTTTTGAGTTTCAACCATTACTTCCTACTACGTTCTTGCTGCTACGCTCTTGGCTTTCCAACATAACTTCCGGCTATGTTTCTGCTGCTACGCTCTTGGCTTTCCACCACGCACCCGTCCTACTAATTACGTATCCGTGTGTTGTCGCTACGCTCTTGGATTTCCAACTTAACTTCCATCTATGATTGTTGTTGCTACTCTCTTCGCTGTCTAGCATGACTTCCTATTTTTCCAGCTCAGTCTGGGCGCGTACGGACACGAACCTGTGCCACTAAGCATGTCAGATGGGATGTCAGAATAGTTGCCAGACAGAATGCCAAATAGAATGTCTGAATATATGTCAGAAAAAGGCAAGATAGAATGTCAGACAGATTGTTCAAAGATATGTCAGCTGGAAAGATGCCAGAATGAGTGTCGAATATAATGCTAGACAGAATGCCAAACAGAATGATACAGAATGTTTGAATATATGCCTGAAAATGCCAGATAGAATGTCAGACAGATTGTTCAAATACATGATTCATGTCAGCTAGAAAGATGCTAGAAAGATGCCAGAATGATTGTCGGATATAATGCAAGAAAGAATGCCAGATAGAATGTCACAATGTATGTTCCAAGAATGTCAAATGGCGGAGATCACTGGAAGAAAGTGGTTTTGCTACAATTCGCTCTAATATCTCTAATGCCTTCCACTGGTCAAACTTTCTAGCCGCTGTTTCATGGACAATAGCATGACCCCCTCTACGCCCCTCACGGGTCTCACGGTCTCACGGGCCTTACGGGCTCTACGGGCTCTATGGGCTACGGGCTCTACGGGCCCTTTTCTACGGGCCTTACGGGCCTTACGGGCCCTGCGTGCCCTTACGGGCCCTTACGGGCTCTACAGGCCCTCTGGCAACGGGAAGGACCCGACCCAGAAGTGCCGGAAGGGAACTTCTAAAAGAAAATGGGGATCTGAGTGCTGACTGATGCAAAATTCTATGACAACTTTGGGTGGATCAATGATCAAATCAATGAATCTATGGAAAAAAACTAATTATAACAAATAGACAAAAATGATCAATGAGTTGATGATGTTGTCCAAAATTATGAGTTGCTGGTGGATGAAGACAAGAATATTGATTCTGATCTGACCATTGGGTCTGATTCGGGTCAGATCCTCTGGAGAAATTACCAAGTTTCAGTCATCCTCGGGTTGAAGGGGTTGGTGCATGTGTATGTTAATACATTTCTGAGCGGTTGTGAAAACTCAGTGTCTTTGCCAAGCTCCCAAAAAAGGGGTAATTATTGCTTTTTGGGTGGCCTATCGCTACACATGGGTTTGTATTTTTGAAGAGAGAGAAACAAATCTGCGCAAAGGAAAACATAGGGGAAAGGAGGAAAGGGTCTATTTGTGGTCTGGGGCTACTTTTTGAACAAGTGGGTATCGCTAGGGATATCGCTGATCTCGCCTCTTGCATGTATGCAACTTTGTATAAAACGTCAGATGTGGACATTGGACAATTGTAGGTCTTGCTTTTGGGAGAGTCCTATCGCTACACAGTGTTTGGTGCACTTTCCACAAGAGAGTCCAAAAGGGCACCAGTGATTTACCAGAGTGTTGACCGTACCTCACTAGAGTAGTGAGTAACTTACCACCCAATCATAGTGGAATCACTTGCAGGATTCACCAGCCAGGACAGCAACCGTCCTCAGCAAGCGTGCCATCCGTGCCAAACGTGTGAAGCGCATCAGCCGCATGAGGCGGAAACCTCGGATCAGAAAGGTCCGTTTTTCAGGTAGCGATGATCAGTCACTCTATCGATGTAGCCATGATTGACCTTCTCCTATTTTTACTTTTGATTGGTGGTTTCAACCCCTCTGAAACATATGAAAGTCAGTTGGGATGATTATTCCCAGTATATGGAAAAAAAAATGTTCCAAACCACCAACCAGTAAACATGTTTTTCTAGGTCACCAACTCTTTCCCCTATAGGCCCTAGCGCATCTGCGCGCGCGCAACTGCTCTCGCATTGCCCAGCGACCTGGGGAGGTGGCTTCTGGGGCAAAGATAGCGAGGCAGATGCTCAGGAACCACGTCTCTGACCACATCAGGAAGACCAGAACCTGTGCCAACTCTGTCATCTGGGGCGCATCGCAAAGCTACTTACCAGTAAGTGGGAAGATTAAATATTGCAATGTATATATTTATATATATATATATTGTACGTGTATATATATATATATATTGTATGCATGTTTACATATATATATATATGTGTGAACGATAACCATTGGATATATCACCAGCAATATAAATCTGATCGTATTTACCAACCAAAAAGAAAATATAAGATAAGGAAAAAACACAGGGAAACCCATTACTGTATCTACACTTGGTGGTGTCAGCCCCGCCAACAAAATATTGGTCATTAGTCGGTATCACCCCATTTCTCAGCTTGAAGATAATGATAGTCAATGGGTATCAGCATAGCAGCTGGGATGCATAACACATGTTGAAACCACCCACCAGATCATCCTTGGTTTTACACCCCAATGATATCCTTATGATTTCGCTGGAAAGTTGGGCAATGGCCAGTCTTTTTGGACCTGGTCAGTTGGGATGATCTATGATGATCTCAGGCGACCATCAATGACTAGTTAAGTTATATCGTTATGCCCTCGTGTATGGATTAGATACGGTATACCCTCCAATGGATTTCAATTCAAATCCAGAGATAGGATGACTATTCAGAAGATATATCCTGCAATCCAATTGTTTCAGGGAAAATTAGAGGAAATCCCTATCTTCGATGGTGAAAAGCATGGTTTCCGGTTAAGATTTTCCCTGCAACCGATCCATGACCGCAGCCAAGCCACTGCATCGAATACAAACCATCCGTCCTTGAAGGCCTCACGCTTCCTCGGGGAGATTGACGACTGGGTCATGTTAGGAAAATGCGAAAATGTCTGATTTTCTATGATAAACCATGGAGATTTTGGTTCATGATGTTCATGTTTGCAATCTGATTTTAAACCATCGGCCAGCACTTAGCGAACCCGATCATATCCACCCCACAAGACTGCACAGAACTGAATTGTTGATGACACATTGCAATCTATTTCTTCAGCCCAAAAATCCTCTTGGTTAAAAATGATTTGTTTTATGCAGCTGGGACATCGCCTGGAGATAAAAATCGAATCCAAGCCAACCTGAACCGACCGAAAAATATGTAATTTGGCCATCAACACCATTGGTTTAGGGGTCCCCCATTTTCAGAGAAACCCAAAATGGTTTCTTGGGTCATGCAGCAGCGCAAAAACAATTGTTGGTATCAAAAACGATTAGCGAACGATTCAGCTATAGCTAGAACTGAACCATCCCAAATCTGGGATGGAACATCCCAAATATTTGAAGCCAGCAGTGACCATCCAGGCCAGCACATCTCCATGGCCCCAACATGGCCCTGTTGCCCCCGCCTACGGAAGGCACCGAAACGGATTCCCAGTTCCATGCTGAAGAACAGCACGAAGAGATTCTCAACGACGATGATCGCCTCGGTGCGAGCTGCCTTGGGGGTGCAGTAGCCATAGTAATTGCCATAACCCCCATACGTTGGGATCTGGGGGCCCTTTTTTACTATGGTCAATGGTAAAATATCATATACCCACTTACAACTAGAACTGCACCCCCAGTATTGTGACCATATATATATATACACTTATATTTATGCACATATATATATATAATGATATATATATAATACAGTACTTATATATATATATGTATATATATGTATATATATATGTATATATATATATATGTATATATATATGTATATATATATGTATATATATAAGTTATGGCAACAATTGCGAGATAAAGAGGTAAAATTACCCATGTTCACCCAAAGTTAATTTATAATTTAGCGCTAACTACAACCAAACATGGATTGGAATCATTAGAACAACTCTGACATAAGGTCCCCAAAATGAAGTATATGAGGATGTGTCAAAACCTTGTACCTCTGGCACTCTGGTGAACATCAAAAGAGATGGTAAACTGACTTTCACCCTCCAAAAATCCATAGCATTCCATAGCTATAGCACCAAAAGCTACACAGCCGTGGCGAAAGGCATCCGTCAGGTCACCGGATGCGCTTCGTGAATCATGGTGGCTCCGTCCAGTTCCATTTCGATACCTGTGCCGTGGCATGCCATGGGGCAAAATGGGGCATAGTCATCCCAGAATGGGCCTGAAAAACAGCAGGTATTTTTCAATCCCTAAACTACTGGAGGTAGTTTAGTTCCCCCAATATTGATATGCAATCGTTAACCTTTCACCATGCACCATGTTATGCCATGGTCTGATGGGATGGCATGGTCCCAGCATCTGGTGGGATTCCGAAATCCTCTGAATTTTGGCCATTACGATTCCATTTTTTTAATGGTGGTTTAACCATCCCCCAATATTAATATGATTATATGATTATATATAGGATCCAGCCTTGACCATGGCACTCTTCTCATTACCTATCCATATTTTCCTCATTTTGCGAACGGTGATACATGATATTCATATTATTATAAATTATGATCTGTGGTCCAACCATCTGAAGCTGTGGGGGTTATCACTTAAATGGGTCCCCAATATAGCTGGATGGTTTATGTCATGGAAAATCCCAATCTACCCTCTGGTAAATTAACATAGACCCTGAAAATAGCCTAGTTTGAATGGAAACTAATCTTCCAAACCCTATCTGCCAGGGTCTATGTTAATTTACCAGAGTGTAATAGCTGGATGATTTCGGGGTACCCCTATGACTTAGGAAAGCTCCATGGTCCTCCATGGTCAACTGGGACATCATCCCATCATCCCAGCCCTGCCGTCCTGTCCATATGGCATTGCTGGACAGCACCACGAAGACGATCGCTTCAAAGATTCGGCTGCGAGCAATCCGTTGACCTCGGATCAAAGCCGGGGGGGTACAGTGAATGATCTGCCGAGATGTTTGGCAGTTGTTCAATTGGGTATGGATCAATACCTATATTCATACCATTTTTATTGGGATGAACATCCATTTACCCCAGCTATTTTGATGTGAACTACAGGGGTACAAGGTTTTGACACACTGCCAATTTGCAGTGGATGTGGGGAAAACTGTGAACCAGCGTGTGAACCATTCCGTTTTTAAGGAGTAGTATGGGGTAGTAGTACCTGAGTTTCACGGTAGCCACTTCAATTGCATTGCATGGAAAAGCTAAGCCAGGTCTTGGAAGCACTTTCATGGCTTTCAGGAACCATGCAAGTACAAACTATCTTATGGGCTGATGCACAGTTTATCATGCATGGTTTATATATATATATATATATTATATATAATCTTATATACATCTCATATGAATATATAAAAAGGATTAAAAAGGAAAGAAAATACAGCCAAACCAAAAGCTATCCTTTGGATATCCACACAGTCAACGACTGGAGAAAGCACCAAGGGCCACACAAAAGCCTTCAGTGTGGTAGAGTCTGGAAACGTCGTAGCTCTCCTGGCACCCCAGGGACGGCAACAACGGAATGCAACTCTGATATCCTGTTTTTCCAGATCCTGAAGTTCAAGCGCAAAATCATCCGCAACTGTGTGGATGTTCCCTCCATCTTGACCAGGAGGGGATTGCGCAGGGCAGGAGATCCCTCAGGTGCTCCTTACACAGATCCTCCTTGAGTTTCTTCTTCAAGGCTTTGGCATCGATAAACACCATCTGACTGGGATCCACCTGCCAGGTGACTGGATCTCCATTGCTGACAGTGAATTCCACCATTTGGGGGGTTAACATTGGATAACCGGATAACCATGCGTCAGTCAAATGGAATCTACTATCTACATCTATCTACCTGAATCTGATGAGTAGATTTCCCACTGATCTTGGTGGAATTCCCATGTTGCTTGGTTATAGAATCTCTGCTTGCTGGTTTTGTGTTGGATAAATTATGCTCTGTTCATGATTCCTGATAGCTTCCTGTGGGTCCCCTACTCTTCTTTCGTTCTATCCGCATTCTGATTGAGGGTGAAACTCTCTTGTTGAGGCTCAAAATTACTTGAAGCTTTGATGGTCAAAAATGAATGAACCCCCAATTTTGAGCCACTGAGAACCCTTGAATTCCCCCAATTCCTGGTTTAGGTGGGTTAAGTGTCCATCTTTTAATACATTTGCAACAGAAGAAACTTGCTATGAAATTGTCCAGTTTCCATGCCCAGATTGGATCTAGTTGGTGAGTTTTTATCCCATCATATCCGCTCAATCTCCCACTCCCATGGAAAATCCTTATCTTCACAGGTCCATGTTGAATCCCATCAGAATCCCATTGGAATCCCATTAAAATCCTATTCAAATCCTCCCATCAAGATCCCATTTAAATCACATTCAATCATTTCAATCTAGATTTCTTTTGTGGTAAATCGGCCTCCTTCACCTCGCTTTCCACTTGCGACACCGCCAGCTGCACGGTCCGCCGGTGCATCGCGCAGGACGCCGCCGACGCCGCCGACGCCGCTGACGCCGTCGCACGTCCCGTGGCGCCAGTGGCCCGGGCAGGAGACGTGGGGCCGCAGACGGGCAGCACAGGAGTGAAGCCAGAAGTGCCTGGCAGAAAAAACTTGGGAAACATGTTGGAAAAAGAGTTGAAGACACCTGAAATTCATGTCGAACAAAAGCCTTTTGTTAGGGGCCCCGGATCCCAACTGCTCATTTCAAATCTTGTGGTTATAGAATATCGTTGTCATGTTCCCTCTTGATGTCATTGCTATAGTTTCAGGGGGTAATTGTTGAAGACTTCAGATTGAACTTCATCAGTAGTCTTAGAGACCATCACCACTTTACTTGATATGCGGCTGAAAACAAAAACCAACAAATATATAGTGATGAAGAAGCATGATATGTTTTAACCGATGATGAGAATGCAACCAACAATGATGAGGATATCACCGGATTCGGTATGCTACAAACGATTGCACCAGTATACTCGATGATTTGCGAATTCCTGTAATGGATGATAGCAGTACAATTCATAATGCCCAATGTTTTGGATAGCATAAGAACACCAGTTAATAAGAACGGGATTCCCAGTTCAAGGCTGATGATAATCCCCATAATCTTCAGTATATATATATATGTGTATTCATAAAAAAGGATATTAAAGGATAGTATCACCCACCACAATCATCAACCAACCATCATTCATCGATTCCGATGTATAAAGATTTATAATAATATTTATACCCAGAAATCCCCAGATCTTTGCTGAAAGCCTGGCGCCAACTCTCCAGGGAGTTGCAGGAAATCACCTCCGATCTCCAAGGCTAAATGGGCTGATGTGCCATGGGCCATGGTGTTTTTGATATGGCAGTTATATAATTTATATTTATACACCATAATTATCTTATAGATTCTTATAGTATGATTAGTATATATTTTTGCTATGAATGTTATGAATTAATTTGGTAGAATCTGTTAGTGATATGCCATGATATGCCATGATATGCCATTGATGTCACATCTGTGTTGGCGTAAGGCGTAAGATGGGATGAAATCGCCCACTGGCCATTCATCGGAGAACTCATGGGCATGTGTAGGCAGAGCTTGGATAATCATCCCAAGGTAGAGAAACTGGTGATCGGGAAGAATCTACCAAAATCTACCAAGACCATCAAAACATATTCCGCCTCCTTGCGCATCCTGGCTGCACGCGGTGTATTGCCTCGTAGCTTCGGGTTGCGGCTTAGCCCTCGAATGTGACCCGGAAAAGGCAGACTGGCCGCTTCTTGAGTTAACTTATGTTAACAATTTAACGCGTGTCGAGGCCTCGAACATGAATTGTCGGAGGTACCAAACTTCGGACCCACACCGCCCCCACCCTTTTGGTCGCCTGCTGCATGCAGCCTGTGAGAACCATTCGTTTCCCAAGTGGGCGGAGCTCAATGGAAGCAAAAGCCGCTTGAAACTGCGAAACCAAGTAGTAGGTCAGCACGTCGCAAATTCGGACCATGTCGTACTATCTGTAATTACATTGAAAAAAAGACAAGAATGACAAGAATGTGACTTGTGGAATACATGCAGTGTTTCACATCTAATTATCCACCACCTAATTTGATCTCATTTGATCTCATTTGATCTCATTTGATCTCATTTGATCTCATCCATTCATGCCATTTCAATCCATTTCAATCCATTTCAATCCATTTCAATCCACTTGAACAACCACGGTTCTACCCCTTGAACGGTGACTCACCAATCCGCAACAATCCACTCCAAGTGACTCACCGTCGACGCAGCTTGTCTCCGGCCAGAGCTCCTTCTGCTTGGCCAAGGTGCTTCGAATGCCATCACTACTGTGCTGTAGCAGTTGCAGCAGCTGTTGAATCCTTGGGTGGATGCCCGTGGAGGGTTTGGAGAAGCTAAAGAGAGGGGTGCAATAATCTATGTTCAATGTGTTCAATGGATAATTAATATCAATGGATTGTCCTATGATCAATATTACCAATAGCTATCTTCACCATTCTATCCATCCCCGCATCCTTCCATCTGTCTCTAGATCTACATCCATTTAGCGTCCTTGTGCCATGGGTTGCCAGGTTGCCATTTCCATAGCCATCCCTCCCCGACCCCAGCAAGCGGAGCATCTGCTGTTCCAAGAGCCGGCTACTTTCGAGGAATCCACCGCTGGAGTCCATGGTAATACCCACCCGCTGTGGCTTGAACTTGAACCAGCTGAAGTTCCAACGCTCCCCGACCGGCCCTGGGGTATCAGACCCAAATAGCTGGCTGTTATGGATGCTCATCGCAGCAACAAATATGGGTTACCGGGTTTAATGGTTTTGACACATCCCCATATTTCTACTGCTTCATATCGGCATTGGGGAGCGGGGATTCCCGTTTTCGCATGATTTCTCTCTTGATCGGAGGGAATGTCCTATTCCAGGCTACCCTCCGGCAATTTAACATATGGAAAAATAGCCCCTTAATAGTTGCTTTACATATATCTTTTACACCTTAAAATCCCGACGCTCCCGCCCCAAAATCGCGCGACGTCCTGGTAACGTTTAAAATGGCTGACCAAATCCTGGCTGCAAGAGGCCAAGATAGGCCAAGTGTCCCAATGTTTGCCATCTTTCTTGGCTGTTTACCCCAGTTTGGAGCCAAAATCTTGATGAAAATCCAGGTGATTGTTGGTTAAAGCCTAACATTTGTTGACTAATCTCCAAATGATTGTTGGTCAACACTTAAATTTGATGACTATGACTATGACTATACTATACTATACTACTATACTCCCAAATGATCCTAAATGATTGTTGGTTCATATTATCATATTGCTTCCTACCCAGATCTGACAAAGCCTTTCTGACCTCCAAAAGCCATTTGGCCCCTGTCCTCTGTTAATTTCTTGGCATTCACAGCCTGCGGTGGGATAAGAGTTGGATTATAGGCGACCTCAAAACCTTGATTGAATAGTCGTAAGATATTGGGGTTTGTGGGAAAAATGATTAGGATATGATTCTCAATATCTTGATTATGCTTGTGTAGACTGTTTCTGCAGATGTTCAGGTAGAACATGGTAGAACAACATACGTGCCATGGTAAAAAAAAGGGGGCATACGGCTTATGGTCGTCCATCCGTTCATCATTCGGGCTTCCTTATAATGGGTGATCCCGATGAAAATGGATGACCAACACCCGATGTAGCTGCGCGCAGCGTAGCGCTGGTAACCCAAAGTGTGTGCGCTCTCCTGGGTTTATCCGAAAGCTTCCCTCCTCTAGCTGAGGCTGAAACCTGCTCTGACCGACTACCAAGCTGATGTTTTTTGGGGACGCTCCTATCTTCTAAACGGAGTCGTTTTTGGAGTGCCTTTCGGGTTCTGGCACGTTCTGGATGCAAAGGGCCGTCTGCATTCAACTGGCAAATTTCACTCTGCATTTTTCGGTCATCAATCCTGCATCCATTTTTTGTCACCACCACGGAAAGAGCAAAAAACTTTTCTCTTTTGTGTTTTGTTTGGTGCTGTGCCAGACAAGCCATTTTCCCCCTACGAGCAAGGGGGGTAAAAGATGGTAAATTAGTAAAAGGACACTCACTGTGTCCAAGAGAACTCATGTTCACTTTTTTTTGTTGACCCTTTTCCATCCTTTTCCGCTGATTGTCTCCTGATGTTTCTGGCTTCGTGAAATTGCAATTTGGGCTGGTTGGTGTCATCGAGTGCCATTTTTTGTGCCAATGATCCCTGGTACCGTCACCTTGGTGCCGTTCCTGGACCTTCCTGGACTGCGGATTCCACTAGCCCACAAACCTCATAATATCCAAATCAGTAGGTCACAAGAGTCATACCATCTAGTTAACATAGCCATGGAAAATAACCCATTTATAGATGGTTTACCTATTAAAAAGGGTGATTTTCCATGGCGATGTTAAATAACCAGATGGTAATTGGATCTTATTTCAACATATTTCAACTATTTTGGGGTTGATATAGCCACAGAAACCATCAACGATGGTGTGCCAAGCACCAGCTTGCGGCCCTTGCTCCTCGCCTGCGGTCCCACGCGTGCCATGGCACCATGGCTTGCGGCGAGGCGGGCCAGGGATGGGCGCATGCCGGGATATTTTTGATGGGATGGGATGGGCGACTTCAAAATGTCTAGGGCCATTTATTTCGAAAATAGGGTGGCACGGATGGACACGGAAAGTGATGGAAACTGGTTCCGAAACAACACGTTATTTTTTTTTCGGCCCCAAAAGGATCCTCCTTTGCCTATGAAAGAGGCATTTTGGAGCCAACCGAAGATTGGGGTGTCTCTGCAGCTCCGGGGATCAAAGTTGAAAATATTTGAAAATACAACCAGGTGGGACCAACGGCTGGTCATTTTCATCCGTGGTTTCAAGCGAAAAACATCTCCAGTTATCCCCCCTTTCCAGGGTTTGCGCTTCTCTCTGGTACCAGTATCCCCTATCTGTTTGCAATGTGGGTTGATTTTCGGGGGCATGGCAATATTCGTGGAGGGTTTTCCACTATCAAAGGTGTTCGAAGCAGCTGGCGGCAAGAGGTATGCTCTTCAGAGATTGAAGTCGTTTTTCACAGCACAGCAAGGGGCGGTTCCTGTATAACCATGGACCCACAAGGTGCGGTTCCTTTAATGTATTAAACAATCGGTGTTCGTCCAAATTAAGTGTAATGTATCTACGTCCGAGCGATACCTGTTTACCATACATCTTCAAGAGGGGTGCCAATTTGGTCGTCAAGTCACTCTGACTTTGATTCCATCTAGTGGCACATTAATCATATCATATCATATCACATCACATCACATCACATCATATCATATCTATTAATTCATATCTATCAATTTCATGCAAGTGCGTAGCTTGCATGCTGAATCCAGTCAAAAAAACGCGTGGCTCCCTTTTCAGCCAGCGCTTCTTGCGCATGGAGTGAAACGTGGGGACGCAGCACAGGGGTTGCCAAAGCATGATGATTCCCAGCCTGGACCCAGCGAAAAAAAAAATGGATAGGAATTTCGTATACGTTTCCCAGGGAATCCCTTTGCTTCGAAGATCTGGAAAAAACATGTTTTTGTAATTTTAACCCATACCCATACCCAAATAGCTTCAGACTTCCAACACATCTGCAGATATCAGATATAATCTGGAGCCATCAGCAAACCCTGTGGCAGCTGTCCTGCACGTGCAGCGTTCAAAGGCAAGCCAATCGGCACCTCATGGCATAAACCCTCTGCCGGTGATTCTTCTCATCGTTCAAAATGAATGGTTTTCAAAATTCGGACGTTTACCATGATTTAACATCAAAAATGATCGAGTACGCAGAGATGTTTGGGTTACTGGGCTGTTTAGCTTTCGATTTATGTATATTAAGAAAATTATGTGAATGTATATGATGTATATTTGCTAGGGACTTGAAAGTAAGCGCTGGCTCCGAACAGCGATAAAAACCAAGTTGAGCGCGGCAAACTGGGCTGCCCAGCCTCATTGCACCAAGGGAGGCGTCTTTCCTCTTCCCGTGTATTGCTCCTCACGCAGTAGAGAGTCAAAGTGGATCAGTGAGCTGGTGCCCCAGGTGGTTTCGCCAAGTCAGTCCATAACTAATCAATATAAGATCATATATTAAAATAAGTATGGTTTAGGGTGTGTATGTATATATATATATATTACCCTCCAGTAAATTAACATAGACCCTGGCAGATAGGGGTTGGAAAATTAGTTTCCATTAAAAAGTTGTTATTTTCAGGGTCGAACTGTTAATTTACCAGAGGGTACAGATTATCTACAGATCATAGGATCTATAAACCACAAACATTTAGCCCATCCAATTTGGGTAACTGTTCATCCCCATCGGATCCCCATCCCATCCGACAGATGCCTCCGCCAGCTTCTGACAGGCATGTAAGGCTTCGGTCAAAGGCTTGTCGTCCAACTCCTCCAATGTTTCATGGCGCGTGGCGTGGAAATGCGCCAACAAAAACTGGTCTCTTTACAGAAGAGATGTGAGGCTGACTGTTTTTAGTATGATAGAAGATGTGCATCCTGAAAGATTCTGGGTTTCAAGAATCTGAGTCCCCGACTTGGCAAATCTTCAGAGCTTTACCGAAGATCACCTGCAGGGGAGACCCTGGTGTGACTCAAGATAGGTATAGTTTAGCTTAGATTAGTTTGAAATTGATTGGATGATAGATCGACACGAGTTCACCCGTGGATTTCGCCAAGATCTTTTCGGAAACAGGAGGAGGCGTTGCATTGAGGGTCAAAACAAAATAGTCTGCATAAACAACTGACCCGCAAGTTGCCAAAATTTATATAGGAATTACAGACCTTCAAAGTTCTATCTTGCGTGGAGACTCTATTTTTGCAGCTGTCCGGGAATATTGGGGGATGCCGGCGCATCAGATTCCACGTTGGATAACACCATGTTGAAACCTTTCCGTGTGACTAGAGAAATTGTCCGTAAACATCTCCATCCCAGAGATCACAGCCGGATCCAGTGCTATCCACCTTGAAATTCATTGCGAAAACCTTAAGTCATTTGACCATGGTCACATTCGTGGCCACCGTCCGATAATCATGGAACGATCCAACGAGCCGGCGATCACTATAAAACCCATTGGTATCTTGGGAATTTCTTGGTCAAACCTTCCACTTCTGCTGGGTATGCTGGGTTTGGTGGTTTTCCCCCCAATTTCTGGTTCTTTCCATATTTAATCCCACCATTTCCTTGTCTCCCCGTATTTGGTCATGTTTGTTGTTCAAATTTTCTACATCTACAACTCTTCCGCAACACCTGCCTTTCGAAGGTCTGGCTGTTCGACCAACATCTTCAAAGCGGTTTGCGATTCCAAGACGGAGGCCTCTGCCTGGACGAGCGTTGCGCTGTGTTTGGCGCACGTCCAAGTGCATGTACATTTTCAGCATGCATATATCGATCTCTATACATACGGCACCATCTATATATAATTATATAATGTATGTATGAACCCAGACAAATGTGTTTTTAAAGCAAACTAAATGTCATAGATATAATGTGGAATAGATATAATAGAATAATCATCGTACAATAAAGCATAATACAATATAACATTAATGCAATAGATTATAATGTAACATAATGTCATGTAATGCAATATATCAATATTTATATATATATATCATAGTAAAATACACGATAATGTAATGTTATATATATATATATATTATATAATATTATATAATATTATATTATATTATATCATATTACATTATATTATTATTAAAATTTCTTATTATATCTATATATACACATTATTATTATACTATTACTACTATTATTATTACTATTACTAATCTTATTATGTATATTAAATTATATATCATGATGTAATGTAAGATGATATAACAAAATATAACATCATACCATAGTTTATCAAATAATAACAATAATAATAATCTGCCATAATATGATATCAAGCAATATAACAAATATAACACAACATACCATAATACAATATAGTATAACATAACATAATATGATATAATATAATATATACAATACACTGTAATATAATATAATATCATATAATATGATATAATATAATATACTTCAATACAATATGATATAATATAATATGATATAATATAATATACTTCAATACAATATGATTCAATACAATATAATATGATATGATATCATATCATATGATATAATATAGCAATCCAAACATGTGATATAATAAATCAAAAGATGAAATATACTATAACAAAACATCATATAATATAATATGGTGTAATTTTACGATTCACCCACGGTGCTGGGGATCACCCATTTTAAGAAATACGGCTCCTCCATCCTCCATCCTCCAAGTACTGCGCTCAGGCGTTGAAAAAATATGTTGTCCTTCCCAAACCTCCAGGCAAATATGTATATATATATAATTATATATATAATTATATATATATATATACATATATTAGCCCAAAAAAGATAGAACACCTAATTTGCCACGATTTTAGTAGGAACGCACTTTCTTTTCACTTTTTGGGTGGTTCTATGATAGCGAACTGGGATCAAGTGGGATCATCTGCTGGTGACTTTCTCATGATGGATTTCAGAAGCGGTATCAAATATATAGTATCAATTATGTAATATGATTAATATGAATGTCTGTGTATGTGTCTGCTTCCAAGGGAAAAATGAACATCTTCCAACGATACAAAGGAGAAATTTGACTCGTCCTAAGGTGCCAGGCCCAAGATTGGATCATCATCACCCCTTAGCCCATGTCCACCTTGCCCATCGATGCCAAGACATCTGCTAAAACGCCGTGTCCCTGGACAGCTGACCAGAGTCTGGATGATATGATGCAGCAAATGGAACTTGAACCCTGAAAAACAACCACCCTGGGACTGTATGCAGCCCAAGTCAGTCAAACAATGGACAATACGGTACATCTCCTAATTTCACCATTTGATGGTCTACACTCGGAAGGGGATACCATCCTCCTTAGATGAGGCATGATAGAAGCCTTGTGAATGGTCTATGTGGATTTGTCCGAACATAGAGTACCAACATCCAATGCTTTTTCCATCATCTTTCCCAGTGCTCTAAATGATGCTACTCCCCATGTTTAAACATCTCAGGTTTTATCTGTTTATATACATATATCATCATATATCTACATAGCTGTGTGTGATTGTCCCTACGTATCTCCACATTCTGCCTTCAACAGCCCCGTTAAAAAAAAAAAAGAGGCGCGAAAACTCGCCTTGCCTGGCCACTGTCCTTCACTTCCAAAGCTACTCGCGTGCACGCCTCGGCCATCCGCTGGTTATTCGTTGTTGTTCATAAAAGTGTGAAGAGAAAAATACATGTCACATATTCATAATTATTGATCATAGCTATACCAGGTGTGTATATATACTATATATATATACTACATATACATATACAGAATATATACATAAATATATATATGTGTGTGTAATCATATATATATATAATCATATATATATATACATATTCATCATCTGCATTGAATTCTACAGAAGATCTATCTCTCTGTCCTCTGAGAAAATTCTGCCATCCCTGGATTGCCCCGATCCCCTGCGCCTCGGCCAGGGACAACTGCCGATCCTTTCGGTGGAGCTCCGTGGCCACCTCAGTATGTCTCAGTGTTTCGCTCGGTGACTTTATGGGTGACTTTATGAAAATATCATGGCTATAATATGGCTATAATATGGCTATAATATGGCTAGAATATGGCTAGAATATGGCTATAATATGGCTATAATATGGCTATAATATGGCTATAATATGGCTATAATATGGCTAGAATGTGGCTATAATATGGCTAGAATATGATGGCTATAATGGCTATAATGGCTAGTCTTACATGGCTATAATTAATGATGGAATTGATGGCTATGTACCCACTAGTGGTCAGGGTGATGTTTATCGGTATAATCACAAAATTACTTTGTGATAAATCTTGGTAAATTGATGTAAATTGTACCCTCTGGTAAATTAACATAGACCCTGGCAGATAGGGGTTGGAAGACTAGTTTCCATTAAACATTGGTGATTTTCAGGGTCTATGTTTATTTACCAGAGGGTAAGGATGTTTTTTTTTTGTGTGTGGAGAATGGTTTCCCGAATCCGAAGCATCATTCCAATCAGCTTGCAGTGAGGTCGTGAAAAAAAAACATCAAGAATAATGGTATAATCCTGGTATCTTACCATCAAAAACATCCAAAAATTGGACCTGAATGGGATATGAATGGAAGACTTTAGTGGGGATGAACCTTTGTATATAAGCCCGGACATATATATATATACATATATATATATAGCATATATATATATAGCATATATGTATATAGCTATGGTGAAATAGATCTAACCCCTGAAACTTGTAACTATGGTGAAATATATCCACTTATAACTTATAACTGGAGCTGCCAAAGTAGATGGGCTTCCCACATCTAAGAAAAAACACAACACATCCCAGGTACAAGGGGTGTAAATTGGCTAAATGTACAGGCAAAATGACTCGTTTTCCCCCCCTTGTGGATATCATTTATCTATAATGGGGTGGAGCAACCCTGAAAACACGGAATTTTCCATGGGATGTCTAGGGTCCAAAAATATGATGGCTACTGTGGCTGGGAAATGATATGGGATTTCCAATGGGACGTTCTGTTGCCAAATAGGATTATATATATATACCCATAGGATCCATGTATGGTATATATAGTAACATTGGGGGTATATTGATGGTAAATGTTACCATATATACCATACATGGATCCTATGGGATATATAATAATATAATACTATAGCCCACAAGTGAAACTTAGAATGACCCCCAGGTTTCCAAACATTAAGCATCATACACTTAGCCCTGCCCCTTTCCTGCTAAGCAACCTGCAGTAGCATGGGGGACTCTACACTTAGAATGCCTCCTGCCCCGCTTCATATAACAGCAAAAATCAAAAGCATTAAAACCATTTAAAAACTATTTTGATTTAGGTATATAGCGTAGCAGGAAAAAGGCACCCCTCGATCCTCATATTCTGTGGCTATGTGACCCTAAGAGCTGCTAGAGATTGCTAGAGCAGGTCACTTTGTAGCAAAGAAAAATTCAAGAAACTGAAAACCGGACAAAAACATCATATACGTTTATGTTTTTTAATTTTGCTGTTACAGGAAGCGTTCCCCATGCCATGCTATTGCACAGAAGCTGCAAGATCCCAATAACATATATAAGTGTTTGTTGGCGGAATGTTTTTGCATTGCATGATGTTGTTTGACACCGCGCTGTACGCATTCTAAGCGTAGAGTTCCCCATGCTATTCCAGGTGCACCTAGGAAAGGGGCACTGCTAGATTCACATAGGACCATAGGGGCTGCCAGAGCAGGTCGTTTTGTGGCAAGAAGAACGTTTGGATGCAGGGGCTATTTGCGCTGTTTGCTCAAATAATGGTATATGACCTCGGGACGTCTGAGGTATATTTTAAATTTGGCATGAAACGTTTGTGACTCTTGGGGCTGCTAGAGCGGGTCTCACTTTGTAGCAAAGAAATGCAAGAACATGCAAAAATCACAATATCACTTGTGGATGCCTGAACGCATCACTTTGTAGCCAGAAAAGGTGGACAAAAACTGCTAGATCCGAACATGATATGTGAACGGTTTGACACTTAGAATGACGCAAAAACATCACCAAAAAATCCATCTATCAACGTTTTTTTTTTAATGCCATATTTTGGAGGGTTTCAACGCTTAGAAGGGGGTTCTTCTATGATGTTGACACCAACATCCACCACTTGGAAAGCCTCCACTCCATTTGTCTGATTTTTCCACATTTCTAACAGAACTGGTAGGAAAGGGGCCGCCTTGATTTACATGATGTGTGGCTGTAAATCTTTTTGGGCTACTGGGGCACGACAGCTTGTAGTGCAGGTCACCCAGGACACTGGCAATTTGAGCGAAAAGCCAGGCTCTAAACGGAAGAGTTCCCCGTGTCCAAGCAGGTAACCTAGCAGGAATTGGGCACGATCCCAATAGCATATGTGTTGTTTCGTGAATGTTTTTGCATGCGTTTTTGATATTTATTCCTTGCATGATGTTGTTTGACACTGCGCTGTAGGCATCCAACCAGGTGCACCTAGGAAAGGGGCACTGCTAGATTCACATAGGACCATAGGGGCTGCCAGAGCAGGTCGTTTTGTGGCAAGAAGAACGTTTGGATGCAGGGGCTATTTGCGCTGTTTGCTCAAATAATGGTATATGACCTCGGGACGTCTGAGGTATATTTTAAATTTGGCATGAAACGTTTGTGACTCTTGGGGCTGCTAGAGCGGGTCTCACTTTGTAGCAAAGAAATGCAAGAACATGCAACATCACAATATCACTTGTGGATGCCTGAACGCATCATTTTGTAGCCAGAAAGGTGGACAAAATAGACACATAGCGTGGTGGGAAGATTATTTTCAAAATTGGAAGGTGCCCAAAACGTGAGTTGTGGCTCGACTGGTAGCGCGGCGGTTTCCAAACCCACATTCTAAGTTCCTCTTGCCGACTATAATAATTATAACATCAATAGGGTGCACTCACTAAGCAGGCGAACGGGGGTTATGCCAGCTATCGCAGTCACACTGACTGAGTCAACTAGCCAGGGTCAATCACCACTGCACCGTCTATCCCAGCAGGCATACTATGTGGAGTGGATGAATAGCCATGGTGAGCCAGTGATCCATGAGTTATTCCCGAGAAATTTGGGTTTGCAAATTGTAGAACGGGACCAGTGGCCAAGTAGTAACTGGGCTGCAAGACCATTTTGCTATATAATCCTAGTTGCCGGTAGCCACAACATGCCACAACCATGTATATGATATTATGTAATATATATATATATACACTATGAATATAATACATGCTGGGTACTACCAGTAGCAGAGAGGCCCCTACCTATAGGAAGCGAACCAATTTGGAAGGTCACACTCAGTAGTCCAATTGAACTACACCTGTATACATACCTGGAAAATGCAGCAAAACTACTGCAGACGTGGGCAGCACGGGAGCAAGTCCACAGGTTGCTGGAGCAACCTGATCCTCTAGTTGATCGAGCCGCCCATCAACATCTTTAGCATTCTGTAGCCATCCCGGCAGATTTAAGTTGGTTTTTCATCCCTGTGGCATACGACATCCCCTAATCATGTCCATGTTTGGGACAATGGTCTTGTTGGAAATCCTACCATGTCATCCAATTGATATCTGCTATCATGTTGCTATCAGGGTGGATATGGCTGCCCGGGGATCCACACTTCCACCAAAAGGTCATCACATTGCGGGGTCAGGCTTAGGCATTGCCTGGGGCAGATCATGGTACCTGGATAGGGTATCAACATGTATCAACCATGGGTAAGGGAAGTGACTCAAGCCAAGCCTATTCAATTTATTGAAAGGCCGTCAATAGGATGGTTCAGATTTGAGAATCTACTCGAATACATTGGGTTTGATTCATTTTGGAATGTCTTCACAAAGAGGATACACACAATGATACGATACACAATGATACACAATCCACCAAAAAGTGGTGATACGCTGCGGGCTGTATCCAAGTGCTCCCCCAATACCAACTTTCGAGTCATCTAAGCACTTGAAACAGCTCAGTGATCTTCCACGTTGCCAACCAATGGGAAGCCGCCTGCATGCTTGGTCGGCAGCATCCCAGTTTTCAGTTCGGAGATGTACCTCCGGACGGGAACCACCGGCGACTGAGTCATGGTTTTCTTTCAGTGCCACGATGACTACGAATACATACGAATACTCGTTTTATAATGTTTTATAGTTATAATGTTGAGAATGTTACTAGTTTTCGTCATGGATGATTGATGGTGATTGGATGCACTTATATCTTATAACGCCAAGACTGGTCCCGTCACGCTATCAGGATGTTGTCCGGTGTAGATTTCTGTTCTCTGGAGTTTCTGACGGCAAGGAATGTGATGTAGGTGTTCGATCGCCAGACAGTTTCCATGCATTTTGATGGGGTGTTACGATATCTACCTTTTATTTTTTTTCAGTAAGGAGTAGAGCACTAGAGCACCGAGCTGGAACGTGTTTTTGTCCTTGCAGTAGTTTCCTTTTTTTCCTTCGAATCGGTCCTTTTTTCCCAGGTGCAAGCCTCCAACACACGCGCTACGTCCACCCCGAGCATTGTCAAGAGTGTGGTCCATGCATTGAAGAACTTGACTTTAGTTTGTGCTCCTGGAAATCGTGTGGAAAGTTCCGCATCTCCAATGACGCTTTCACAAAAAATAGTTGCTTTGAAACTGTACTTATACTAAAATGTGTGAAACATTGAAATCGGCCTTTTCCATTTCACTCTATTTCCACAAGACTAATCTACGGTTTTCTATGTATCCCAGCCAAAAAGCTGAAGAGTCATGGCTCAGCCATGGCTTGGGTGAAACAGCTGCAGCCAGCGAGGTGCCGCGGCTCACGCGGCATCCTCCCCCAGCTGGGCGTGTAACTCCGCCTCCAAGGAACTGCCGCTGACGGCATCGAACTCCTACGGACGTTCGCAGGCTTAAGGGGTTGGTGGAAGGCGGCCATACATGATATTATATAAGTTTATATAATCCCTTCACCCTAATATTAAACGCCCCCCTCCCAAATAATAAAACCTAGGGGTAGTTTATTGTAATTTTATAAGGGGTAAATAATATTCGGGGAGAAATTGGTTCCTTATATTAAAATAAAAACCTTAAGAAAAATTAATATTTTCGATTTCAAAATTAATGAAATTCCCTTTTAAAATCTAATTAAAAAGTTTCCAAAAATTGGATTTCGAAATTTTCCCCTAATATTAAATTTAAAGCCTGAAAAAAAAACGAAAATTTGCGATTTCAAAATCAATTAAATTCCCTTTTGAAAATCTAATTAAAATATTGCCAAAAATGAATTTCGAAGCTTTCCCGTAATATTCAAAAAAGAAAAAAAAAAAAAGTTGTCCCGGCAAGAGACCCCAAAACAGTGTGGGGGGGGTGGGAGGATAATATATGATAATGTGGATGACGATGACGATGACGATGACCATGGCGATGATGATGATGATGATGATGATGCTGATGATGATGATGATGATGATGATGATGATCACGGTGAGGATGCTGATGATGATGGCGACGATGATGATGATGATGGTGGTGGTGATGATGATGATGATGAAGATGATGATGATGATGCTGATGGTGATGATGATGATGATGATGAGGATGATGATGAGGATGATGACGATGATGTTGAGGATGACATGTTACAGTAAGGATGATGAGTTGCAGGAGGATGATGTGGAGGAGGATGATAATGAGGATGATGTTGAGGATGATGTTGAGGATGATGATGATGATGATGATGATGATGATGATGATGATGATGATGATGATGATGATGATGATGATGATGACGATGACGATGACGATGACGATGACGATGACGATGATGATGATGATGATGATGATGATGATGATGTTGAGGAGGATGAGGATGATGAAGTGGAGGAGGGCAAGGTGCAGGATGATGATGCTGAGGAGGAGGAAGATGATGATGTGGGGGTTGAGGACCGATCCCAAGACCTAGGACCACACTTTGTGCGAGCCTGCTTACTGGAAATGCGCGTCAATATGTCACAAGACCCACTTTTTACGGAAATTTACGGGAAAAATGCCGCGGCCCAGATTGAGCCCAGAACACGGACACACACTTTGTGCGAGCCTGCGCAGTCGAAATTCAAGTTAAGATTTCACAAGAGCCACTTTATATGGAAATTTGCAGAAAAAATGTCGCGCCCGAAACCCGCGGCCCACACTTTGTGCGAGCCTACACAGCAAATACATCCATTTTTCTCATTTTAGCAGGTGAAATAGTGAAATCCACGTATATCTAAGATTATTTAAGTAATTTTATGTATCTAATGGAATATACATATTATATATATATATATATAATGTAGATATGTCTTAATATGTATTGACATGATACATGTTCAGCTGGTTGAATCAGTTGAATCCCCATGGTTCCACTCCAGCCGTCCTTGGCGAAGTGCAGCAGGGCCTTCTGTTTGGCGCTGTTGGAGCTCGTTTTCGCTTCCTCCATGGAGTCCTTCATGCGCTGACCCACCTGTATGGGGACGAAAGGAAGAACAACGGGAGCTGATGGAAACCCAAAAAATGGCTGAAAACTCATTATGTTCATGGATGTTTTTGGAAAACCGTTGGATTTTTGGATGTTTTTGGGGAGTTGGGGCGTCTGGCCGCCTAGTTTTTGGAGACACTCAAGGGAGCCGCACCACGAAGCGGCTCCATTGGAAGTTGCTGTTGCAAATCTCTCATCAAGGCTTGCAGGTTGAGGCCAAACTATCCAAAAGTTGGGCTATTTCAAACGCATCTCATAGAAAAACCAAAAAAATGGAGTTTCTCAAAAAAGAAGAGCAAACCAAACTCCAAACAGTTCTGGGCCCCGGATATTTTGGAGCAACCTTCCCATCCGGGCCTTGTCACAGCATGCCGAATAACGATCTCCCACCAGATCCACGCCGGGCCCTCCACGGCGACCTGACAAAGCTACTGGGAGTTTAAGAGGTGAAAATATGTTAAAATATGTGAGAATCCATAGATGGTTGCCTTTTCCGACTTCACAAAACGCCATTTTAAGGATGCTTTTCCCCAGACAAATTTAAGGGTAATGTGGATGTAAACCAAACAAAAAGTGGAACTATGACGTACAAAGAGCTGGCGGGCTCGACATTCACAATGTTATTCATCTGAGTTGTGTTTCAGCCGCCACGGCCCAAACAATATGAGATGTCAATTGACTATTGATACCCTCTGGTAATTCAACATAGCTATTGAAAATGGCCATTTATAGTGGATTTACCCATTGAAAATAGTGATTTTCCATAGTTATGTTAGTTTACCAGAGGGCAATATGTGTCTGTTTCGAAATATGGACAATAGAACATAATATTACAGCATACACATGTAAACATTGTAAAACCATCCACCAAATGATATGCCAATGGATGGGGATGGGAGCCAGCACAGTGGGTTAATGTATTGCCCCGCTGTGTTTTCGGCCTGAAAAAGATGGGCCCCGTCCTGATCCCTGAAATAACGGTGGAACATAGGCAACTGTCTTGGTGGGTTCAACCCATCTCAAGAATATTAAGCAAAAATAAACAAAAAAACATTTGGATCATAGTCCCAAATAGGGTTGAACATAAAACATGATTGAAGCCAGCAATGAGGTTAACTTGGTATACTTAGTTAACACATCATTTCGATGTTTTGACCCTTACGGCGGACCCCAAGATGTCAACATGTCCTCGCCTACATCCTGGAAATGCTGCAAGAGGACCTTGGGATTCATCCCTGACCTGGGGCCACGGTGCAGTTGGATCCCTCCGTTTCTACATCCAAAGCTGGGATACACCGATGGAGAAACCCTTTTTAATGGAGCAAGGGGTCGATTTCTCTCCAATTTTCAGACATCAAAGGGATCTACTTGGGGTTGGGGTCTTGGTTTACGAGTGGATCAACATATCTAATCATCCGTTTTGAGACTTGATCATTTTGACCCATATCTAGGTGCCCCTCATGTACCTAACCCGACAGGTCACCTAAAAATCACCCAGGGGCTCTTTGGACAGTTCTTCTTCGATTGCGTCCAGGCTTTTTTCAGCTGCCACCCTTGAAATAGCAGCCACAAAGCCTGACAGCAGCTGCACAACTGCTCAGTAATTAGTTGGGCAAGTATCCTCTTTGCCCGCGAGAAGCACAACCGCTTGGGAATATCCTAGAATCACCTTTCAAATCAAAGAAAATCAGTACAGTATACAAATAATCAACCTGCGTAGTGTCAAAATCAACACATCAACAGCGTACCAAACAACTGAAAGGCCCTCTTTCTATCTCCCAGCAGCTATCTGCTCCCAGATTCTACCATGAAATCGGGGACTTTGAGCATTGCAAGCTCACAACAACCTTATGCAGTTGCGTTCGATCGTGTTGGTTCTACGTTAATTGCTGCGGATTTGCTGTACTTTCTGCCCATGCACAACACGATCTGATCAACATCCAACCTGGCCCCCCTTGAGGCCAGTCCGCCTGTCTTCCGGAAGGACAGCGCTGTGATCTTGGAGAAGGTGTCCTGGGGCTCGAAAGTTCAGACCCATGGATTGGCTGATCAGATGCATTCCAGTTCGGGATGTCCGCATTTCTCAAGCCATTTTTCCAGATCTTTACCATTGGTGGTCCTGCCCACATGGCACCCTGGTGATCCACAGAGAAGTCCCCATCCACCCTGGTTTTCATTCGCAGCGTCGTCCTGGGCAACGTCCCCGCTTTCCGCCAACTTGGTCAAGCCCCCAAGTCGCGCGTCCACATCTCCTAGAAGATCAAAATATGCTCTGGATTGGTATGGGGCTTTCAATCACAATTTTCCTCCAATGCTTGGCAACCTGGTTCAACCCCAATCAACTCTCACACAAGACCACAATCTGAATTAGGGGTTAGATGGGGTAAGTATAAGTCCATCAGATATTAAAATATTCAGTTGTGGAGCCAATCATATATCATGGTACCGGGGGGCCTACGACCAATTCTACCTGGGGCCAATGCAATGGGTAGCCCCCTGCATACGTCCAACTTAAGTCTAGACCAATGTTTATACTTGCACTGTAAGTCGAACAACTCAGCCAAACTAGGGATTCCCGTAATTCATGATAAGAAAAAAAACAGGAATCCCTGAAATATACTATTATCAGGAGTTTTGAACAATGCTCAGTGGTGCCAATCTTATGATCCAAGTACCATATGCCAAAGTCTTGGCGCAAGTAGTCGCGCCAGTCGTCGACTCAGTCGTCCTTCCGCGGAGCAAGCCTTTCGACAGGCATCTTCAAGTTTTTCCTCGGCAGCTGTGATCCGGCCATGGCAGCCTTTCCCGTACCTCGAAATACCTCGAAAGCCTGGTTGAATGATGGGTCTGTTAATTTTGGGGACCCATAGAAGGGGCTTGTGATGATGGGTGGATGGGATTTTGGTGGAATCCAAATGTGCACGCAAGCCCAACCGTCAAGAGGTTTGGGCCATTCCCATCCATGAAAAGTGCAATGCAACATAGGCCCTCAGTTCGAATATATGAAGCATTTACGAGAACTGAACGGCATATAGGGAAGGTCGCTGAGTGACAGTGAGTGCTTGATTGAATGACTGAATGGCTGAGTGACTGAACGATCAAATGAATCGAATGGCTGAATGCGCCATTGAAAGGCTTCATGATTGAAAGATGTTGAAAGGTGGAACGGCTCATTGACTGGACTAAGTTTCAAGCTTTTTGAGCTAGCCCCTGTCTGATGTGCTTGGCTCCTCAGCTATCTCTAGTTCGCTGCCTCTCTCCTCAGCCAACCTTTTCTTTTTGCAAGGTTCCAGAGCAGATGAACACTATCCGACATTGCACTAAATGAATCTAAATTATTTAGGGTATAAATTAAAGTAACCTCCAAAATGATACAAAAAAATACACCACCACTATATTTTAGTAGGGTATCACACTTATCACTTGGAGGTTGCTATATATATATATAATTATAATAATATATATATGTATATATGCGGGGTAAAACCCCATGCGGGTTTGTCTGAAAATAGGGTACCCCTAAATCCACCAGTTGCAGATTTTGTTCATAAAAATGACGATTTGAAATGTGTACCCCATGATCCAAGCAATATATGATGTCCTTTTAGGCAAATCAAGCGGCCGGTTTGGTGCATTATGTTTTACCAATCAAGGCTGGTTTTCATGAAAGGAAAGCCTCTAACTTTTCATCAACCAACCAGGAAAAGAACATCTATGGCTCCAAAATCATCGGCCGGGGTGTTTTTTTTCACTGATATCCCCGTGAAAAATCATCACACTAATAGATACTGTTGCTAACCACACCATCTTTGTTGGGGTTTCACCCAAGCTAGTCATTGGTTAATATGCTAAATCCATCTAAATCCCGGTGAATCATGGTGACATCCCCAGGGTTTGATAGCGAAATCCCAGCATCTTTGAACTTCTCCACAATGTCCTGCAAGGTCTCGCCATAGCCCCGGATCTCCGCGACCGACTCAAGTACTGGGCCCAGATCCCCCAAAACGCGCACCACCTGACCCGAGATTTCTGGAGATATCCCAGGGGAAAGGGAAGGTAGATATGGAAATTCCCATGCGGGTTTGAAGTTGGGAAAGTTTCTTGATTTGTTTTCTGAATGTTCCATATTCATTCCATATCTATAGTTTTCTATAGTTAGTTTGCTGGAGGGTAAACCATGAACATCTTGGGTGATGGCCCTTTGATACATGTTTTTGATCTGTATAAATAACCATGTGGGTGCCATTGGATTGTCGGATTGGGTCAAGAATAGATGCCTCACAAATCTGGTTAATGAAATACATGTTGATGCTCAACCAAAATACGTGTAGTTTCCTGGTTAAAAAGAAAATGGTGCCTCACAAAGCTAAGCACTTGCGGAACCGCTGGTTTTGTTCAACCACCAAGATCGACGGTATACGTTGTTTCATATTTTTATACACAACTTGAACATACTTGAACTATACCTTGAACCATGAGATGCAGTCATGTCAATGCCAATGAAGTCTGCGAGTTTTTTCTCGCTCAGGTTCGCCAAGGCACGACTTTGGGATTCATTCCTGAAGGCTTCTGCAGTTCTCCTTGCGCCTCCTCAAACAGACTCACCACCTTGTATGCCTGTCATGTGGCACGTGGGATCAATGGGATCAATGCTTAAAAGCCAAGGAGGAACCACAAAACAATGGTTATCTATCAAGAAAAAAAACAGACGATTCCAGATGATTTCAAGTTCATTCCAGATGATAAAATTAAAGGACCGGATAACCCCACAAGGCAACTTTTTCCAATAATGAGCAGCTGTAGCGGGGACGGGGAAGGAAGGAAAGACAAAGAAGGAGGTGGAGGATCAAGAAGTAAAACAAAGTTGTGGGTGACAAAGTTGTATGTGAAAGATGGTGTGTGACAAAGAAAGATGGTGTGTGTGACAAAGTTGTGTGTGAAAGATGGTGTGTGTGAAAGTTGTGTGTGAAAGAAAGCGAGTGACAAAGATGGTGTGTGAAAGATCGTGTGTGACAAAGTGGTGTGTAAAAGATGGTGTGGCGAAAGATGGTGTGTGACAAAGTTGTGTCTGTGTGTGTGTGTGAAAGATGGTGTGGTGACAGATGGTGTGCGACAAAGTTCATTGTATGCGAAAGATGGTGTGCTGAAAGATGGTGTGAGACAAAGTGGTGTGTGAAAGATGGTGTGAGACAAAGTGGTGTGTGAAAGATGGTGTGGCGAAAGATGGTGTGTGAAAGATGATGTGTGTGAAAGATGGTGTGTCAAAGATGGTGTGTGAAAGATGGTGTGTCAAACATGGTGTGTGAAAGATGGTGTGATATGGTGTGTGAAAGATAGTGTGTGACAAAGTTGGGTGTCAAAGATGATGTGTAAAAGTTGGGTGCCAAAGATGGTGTGTAAAAGATGGTGTGTGAAAGATGGTGTGTGTGAAAGATGGTGTGGTGAAAGATGGTGTGTGACAAAGTGGTGTGTGAAGGATGATGTGGTGAAAGATGGTGTGAGACAAAGTTGTGTGTGAAAGATGGTGTGTCAAAGATGGTGGGTGACAAAGTGGTGTGTGAAAGATGGTGTGTGACAAGATGGTGCGTGAAAGATGGTGTGTGAAAGATGGTGTGTGACAGATGGTGTGTAAAAGATGGTGTGTGTGACAAAGATGGTGTGTGTGACAAAGATGGTGTGTGAAAGAGGGTGTGTCAAAGATGGTGTGTCAAAGATGGTGTGTCAAAGATGGTGGGTGACAATGTGGTGTGCGAAAGAAGGTGTGCCAAAGATGGTGTGTGACAAAGTTGGGTGTAAAAGAGGGTGTGAAAGATAGTGTGTGAAAGATGTTGTGTGACAAAAATGGTGTGTGACAAAGATAGGGCGTGTGACACCAGAGCCAGCCCAATGCCATAAGTGCCACGCCTGCCACGCAAAACGAAGGTATACATCGCCAAGTGCCACGCCAGGTGGAAAACGAAAGATGGTGTGTAAAAGATGGTGTGTGAAAGATGGTGTGTGAAAGATGGTGGTTGACAAAGATGTGTGTGAGAGATGGTGTGTGAGAGATGGTGTGTGAAAGATGGTGTGTGAAAGATGGTGTGTGAAAGATGATGGTTGACAAAGATGGTTGCCAAAGATGGTGTGTGAAAGATGTGTGTGAAGAGGAGGCGGCGGGAGGCGGGAGGAGGCGGGGAAGAACCCGCGATACAGAATCAAAAACAAGATCCCCATACAAAGATGTGGGGAAAAAAAACCTCATTGGTTGGTTCATCTGGCGGCCCACCTGGCTGAGTCGGGGTAACATCTTTCCATCGTCCTTCAGCCGGTCCAGGATGCTGGTCAGCTCCAAGACCTTTGCGCCGCGACTGCGGCCCTCCTGCCGCGCCGAGAAATCATGGAAATATACATATATATATATATTTATTTATTTATTTATTGTTTTATTTATTTATTTATTTAGTTAGTTATTTATTTATATTATAGATATTATATATATTTATAAATATATAAATCCGAAAATCCCCGACATATCAATGAAGGTGTTCATGAGAAAAACAATTAAGAACATCTATAAATTGATAAAATATATTTTTAAAACATGGATGTCAATGGTGGATTTACCATCAAGATCCAGCAAGCCCCGTTTGATTGCCTCATGTCTAAATGAGGGTTGGTCAAAAAATGTGCGCCGACCTCCGAAATCTGAACCCAATGGCCACCAGTTTGAGATCGAGGCAAGATTCCAGATGGTGGGTGAAACTTCGCTTTTTCAACCCCAAATACCCCCAAAGCATTAGCACTTTCCATGACCTACGCATCATCTCCCACCCCTATGGTATTTTTGCTGAATTCGGACAGGTTGGGTCCAGTGAAGTGTATCCGATTCCATTAGTTTTCACTACCAGAGTAGACCGTTTAAGGAGATTTGGATAGTTTTTCGAGTATCCCTGCCGCGTGGGTATCAAAATATGAGATCCCCCCAAACCACCATGATTTATCATGATTTGGATCATATTTAAAAACATGCCATTTGAAAACAAAAAAAATGTTTCGTCTCGCGTCGTGTCGTATTGTACCATGTCATGTCATATCATATCATATCATATTATATTATATTATATTATATTATATCATATCATATCATATCATATTATATTATATTATATCATATTATATCATATCATATTATATTATATTATATCATATGTCTTCATAATATGTCTATTGCGGACTTGGTGAACCTCCATGAAAACCCACCATGTCCCGCCCTTGGCCCCATCCCCATCATCCCTTCTCCGTTCCTCCAGGATCTTGGCCAAGAAGACTTCCTCCATGGAGTCCACGAATTTCGACATCTCCACATACAAATCCGCGGACATCGCCTCATCCTTGCGCCGCTTCTCCAGCAACTCCAACTCCTTCTCCTTGGAGAAAAGCCAGCTGGTTAATTAATGGGATGTTGATGGAGGAGCCGCAAAATATAGGGAATATACATGAATTCACACTGGAACCCTGGAACCCCAGTATTATCATCAACCAACAACGGAGTCTTGAACATGTTTGAAGACTGCTCAATTGGCGGATGTGGACAACAGAAACGGGAGTTTTTATGTAAGTAAAACATGGAAGATATCACCACTAGCCATGGGTTCAAGTGGGAAAGCATGTTATCAAAAACTGGGGAATCGATAAAGCCGCTCTCAACTTGAGATCGTGGCGAAAATTGGGTGTCCAAAACTATTACAGGGTGAATGATTTGACCCATTGGGCGCATGTTCTGTCATCAATTCCACCAGTGATCTATCCCCAGTCGATCCTAAGCAGAACATGGTGTTGTTTTATGTTGTTTTACGGTTGATCCTACTATCCTAACATCCATACGAGTCCTCCATCGCCGCCAAGATTCCAATTCCTCCAAATCTTTCAACACCCGGGCCGTCTCCAAGTGTGAATAGATGACCTTCGATGCTGATCACAAAACCAATGGTCCAGACGTTCTATCGAATCTTCTGGTCGACAAAAAGCGACCAAAAGCCTGTCCAAACTTGCAATCTGCAACTATATTGTGAAGATGTCTGAAAACATGTCACAAACAGCTGGTGTTTCCCCAATCTAGTGGTATCCCAAATTTGCCCCTGTTTCCCTAAAATTTTGGACCAAATTTAAGGTCTACAGCTGCCCGGTCCCAAAGACTTGAATAGGGAGGCTCATTGAATTCGCAACGGTTGGTGGTTGCAAAGTGTCCCAATACTGAAATATAAAATATATACTTTAGAATACTTTTCATGTGCCAAAGATTCTGTGGAAAAGAACAACATAGTCTTTTGAAATCACCATCTGTAGGAGATTGGCAAGGCCATCCCTCTCTACTGGTTGAATGATATGGTTTCTCACATCAGCTCATAGTTGATCCCCATGACACATCCTTACTGAAACCCCATGTTGATCATATTTCCACGTACGTTTCTGTTGGATCATAGAAAATAATTCAAGTGGAAATTCAGGAACCTAAAATGGAGGGTACTGTACTAAGTCCATCTCTTGTCCGGGATATTCCCTGACGTAGCCCTTAGGCCTTTTAAAAATCTTTGGTGTCTCCAAGCCCAGCAGCTCTGCTCAGCAACTTGGATCGTAGCTCAGGGGCGTCGCAGTTTAAGTCTTTCAAGGACTGCCTTGGGACGGATCCAGGTGACCCAGGTGACCCAGGTCACGTGGGACGCCCCGGGATCATCATTTCACATATGCCAGGGTTGTTGAAGAAATTTCAGTGTTTCACCATATGTTTTGGAATACAATGGAATATACGGTTACGATTTTGTCATATTTCTTCAGCCAAGGTCACCATGAATAAAATTTATGATTTAATCTATCCCTGTTTTTTTTTTAATACCCTCGAAAAAAGGGGCGAAACCTCATGAAAAACCCCTTGAACTGCACTATGCGGCCATTTAGGTTGACTTAGTCCGTATTATGCCTATACCCCCATTTCACTGGAAGTACCCTGAAGGAGCCTTAACTAAACCCTCAGACATCCCCCCGTGCAAAGTCGGGGCCCCGGGCTATCCAACACACCATCTAATTCGGTGTATCCCCATGCTGACAATTTAGGGTTTTAGGACCCCACATAAATCCTTATCCCATATACATACATAATATATATATGTGTGTGTGTGCCTGTTTGTGTTTATGTAGTTCGATCGTTGTCCCATATTTGTACCATACTTATCTCATAATCCCATCCATTTTCCCCCCGTCATACCTATAAATTTCCCCAACCGAGACACAACAGGTGCCTGTGCTGCGAATTCTCCAGCAATCCTTCTACCTCCTCCAGCGGCGCCGTGTTCAGTGCCTGCACAAACTCCGTGGCCAGCGTCTGGGTGCGCTGCAGCACCGCGGAATCGGCCGGTAGCCTGAGCGGAACGTGTCTGCAACGGGCGCCAGGTGGTAGGGGATACTTGGTTTCGTGGTGATTTCGAGATAAGATATGGATTAGAACCTATCAAAAATATTGGGCTGTTATTGGCTATCAAAAATATTGGGATGTTATTGAAATATGTTTTGTTGGGGATTTTTGAGGTCGTGCCCTAAGTGCCAAGCCGGCTTATAGGTAATTTAATCATTTAATCCAACATTAAGTCTGAGGCAGTTGGTGGTGGGATAGCCTAACTATTCACCAGCCAGTCTGTTGAATGGGATGGGACGCAGAGGTACTTTTGATGGCTCACTTGGCGGTGCATCCCAGGCATTGTAATATGAAAGAGATATTCCAGAGATACATTACTCTTCGTGGCAAAGGGGTATGACGACAGGAGGGCTGCAGCCACAAACGCCAAACGGGGCCCAAGCGCGCCACCAGAGCCAGCCCAGTGCCATAAGTGCCACGCCTGCCACGCAAAGCGAAGGTCAATGTTACCAAGTGACACGCCTGAGTAAGTTGTGTGTGAGTAAGTTGTGTGTGAGAGAGTTGTGTGTGAGGAAGTTGTGTGTAAGTTGTGTGTGTGAGAGAGTTCTGTGTGAGTAAGTTGTGTGTGTGAGAGAGTTGTGTGCGAGTAAGTTGTGTGTAAGTTGTGTGTGTCTGTGAGAGTTATGTGTGAGTAAGTTGTGTGTGAGAGTTATGTGTGGGTAAGTTGTGTGTGAGAGAGCTGTGTGTGAGTAAGTTGTGTGTGAGAAAGTTGTGTGTAAGGTGTGTGTGTGAGAGAGTTATGTGTGAGTAAGTGGTGTGTGAGAGCTATGTGTGAGTAAGTTGTGTGTAAGTTGTGTGTGAGAGTTACGTTTGTGTGTACGTGTGTCTGTAAGTTGTGTGTGTGTGTGAGACTTATGTGGGAGTAAGTTGTGTGTGTGAGAGTTGTGTGTGTGTGTGTGTGAGGAAGTTGTTTGTAAGTTGTGTGTGTGTGTGAGTAAGTTGCGTGTGAGAGAGTTGTGAGAGACGGCGGCGGCGGGAGGCAGGAGGAGGCAGGAGGAGGCAGGAGGAGGCAGGAGGAGCGGACGGGAGTGCACAAGCAAAAACAAGAACCCCACACAAAGATGTAAGGAAAAATGATTCAGGCGCAGTTCAAGGACATCGCCGACATCGCAAAGAAATTTCACGATGTCGTGGATTCATTGGCACCCTTGGGACCATGGCACCTGTGCCATCCTACGATGATCCCAAGCCGCGATGTTTAAGTGACACATGTTCCAGTGACTCCAGTGGTCGATCATTGTTTTGCGGAAAATTGAAAATTGGAGGATGATAACTATAACCCATGAGATCAAAGAAAGTTATTTTAGTTGGTTTACATCCCCATGTATCCCATTATAATCCATTATATATACCCCCATGAAAAATCTAACATAGCTATTGAAAATGGCCATTTATAGTGAGTTTTCCCATTAAAAATGGTGATTTTCAATAGCTATGTTAGTTTACCAGAGGGTACCCCCATGAAAAATCTCCATGATATCCCCATTCATTGACACTCTCAAATCCACTCAGGATCCTCTCAAATGGAGGTGTCCTTTATTATAGGGGTACCCCCAAATCATCCAAGATTAGACCAATGATGACTTGGGAATCTACCATGATATCCATGACTTTTTTGAAACCTCTAAATCTTCATGGCTTAAGTCATCTTAGTTGGTTGAGAAATCCCGGTTTTAATATCCCATGATAAGAATAATAATCTGATCATATGAAACCTCTATATCTTAGTCGGTTGATAATACAGTTGGTTTATAAATTTATATCCCCATTATCCCATGATAATACATGTAATCATATATATATATATATATGTATATATATACCCATTTCCCATGGCTATGTTAAATAACCAGAGGCTTATTTATCCCATGATCATCATGATCTCAAAATTCTCAAATGGCTATGGATCAATACCTATGAAAATACCATTTTTAGTGGGATGATCCATAAATCCCATCTATTTTGATGTGAACTACAGAGGCTAATCCCCCGGCTCTTCACCACGGCACTTCTTGGCGATCCGCGCCAGCGCGTTGATCTCCCGCGGCAGCGACGCCACTTGGCCCATCGACAGCTGATCGCGCACGCTGTCGATCAACTCCTCTGCCACGTCACCTCGATGGCCAGCTGGGCGCGGCGAAAAAAACGACCAATTTCTCGGGTTGATTCATGTAATCTATGATTTATATAATGATTTATATTGATTTATATTGATTTATATTGATTTATATTGATTTAGATTGATTTATATTGATTTATATTGATTTATATTGATTTATATTGATTTATATTGATTTATATATTGATTTATATATTGATTTATATTGATATATAATGATTTATATTGATTTATATTGATTTATATTGATTTATATTGATTTATATTGATTTATTGATTTATATTGATTTATATTGATTTATATTGATTTATAATGATTTATATTGATTTATATTGATTTATATTGATTTATATTGATTTATAATTTATATATTGATTTGATTTATATTGATTTATATTGATTTGATTTATATTGATTTATATTGATTTATATTGATTTATATTGATTTATATTGATTTATATTGATTTATATTGATTTATATTGATTTATATTGATTTATATATTGATTTATAATGATTTATATTGATTTATATTGATTTATATTGATTTATATTGATTTATATTGATTTATATTGATTTATATATTGATTTATAATGATTTATATTGATTTATATTGATTTATATTGATTTATATTGATTTATATTGATTTATATATTGATTTATAATGATTTATTTGATTTATATTGATTTATATTGATTTATATTGATTTTATATTGATTTTATATTGATTCATGAATTCTGAGGGGTATATCATATTTTGAACCATTCCCAAAGGGGATGGGCATCAAGTCACAGTCCATGCCCAAAATGGTTCATGACGCGGTAAATGTCCAGGAAGTTCATCTAAGATATCCAAGGACAACTGGGACTTTCACCAGCAAAAATATCAAAAATGAAAATGATGTAAGCTAAGCACCCTCTGGCTGGGAACCAGCTGGCAGAAAACATGGTGATATCATTGGGATATCATTGGGATATCATTGGGATATAGCATGATATAGCGTATGACGAGTAGCATGATACGACCTAACAATCCCAAAAAAAGATTTAAAAAAAAAAAAAAGCTCATGTGACGCCGGTCATCCAAGAAATCGCAGTCTCGGGATGTCTCGGGTATCTGTTGGTTTCATCACGATCCATCGATCCCACTTTTCGGAGAGCAAAAAAGCAGGTCATAGCTGGTCCATTCAAAAAATCATGGATGATATGGATATGGGTATGGGTCAAAATTAGGTACCCCAATAATTGGATGGTTAATACTAAACTAGACTAACATCTGTGGTCCCCTAGGTCTTCCATTTTGACCCACATCCATATGGATATGTAATCCGATCCCAGCATGTGAAACCAGCCATGGAAAACCGCTTTTGAAACCAAATTTGCGGAACTGCTGGAGAATCCCCCTCGATTGTTGTTCGATGATGTTCCCAGCTAGCCATGTTTGATTGGTGGTTAGTTGGATCTTGATTGGTGGTATCTCCTTATATCCGAAAAAAAAATGGTAACTTATATATAGGTAATAAATGCCCATGATAAAACAAAAACAATAAAAACAAACATATTCCACTCACCAAAAAAAATACGAAATCCATTCATAGTCCTTCATAATTCATATCTCTCATATTCATTCATAGTCCATGTTGGCCTCACTATCCCATACCCTCTGGTAAACTAACATAACTATGGAAAATCACCATTATGAATGGGAAATTCCACTATAAATGGGCCATTTTCAATAGCTATTTTGACATAACCAGAGGGTAATTTTTCCCACATGTTTCCCCGAAAATCTGCCAGGCCGCTGCGTTTCATGTCCATCTCGGCCACCAGCGACTCGCCAGGGACTTTGAGGGCGCTCCTGACCTCGGAGCTCAGCTGGATGGCTTACATGGAAAATCTCCATGGAAAATATGGATGATGATTTAGGGGGTACCCCATGGTACCCCCTAAAATTCGGACACTTCCATATTGTCATTTTTTTCAATATGTCTCTATTATAATGTATACTATAATATACTATAATTATACATATATTGTGAGATACTTATGACATGAATTTACATGATATATCAGAAATTCGAATTGTTGTGCAATAGTGTCTAGTGCATACTGGATTCTGGATTCTAGTGGTGAGACATGAAAAAACCGTATTTCTCAATCCAGCCAATTGATCTTTGCAGCCCTCGAAAATGGTGATGTATCTCAAATAAGGCGAAATAAGGGGTCCGAAGCAAATCCACCGGTGACCCGAAAAGAACCGAAATCGACGATTGGGGATGATTGCCCAGGAAGCCTACCGGGCCTACCGTCCTGATTATCTCTGATTGTTCTTCCCACCTCATCAGCAGCTTCGGCAAATTTCTGCAGCAATAGCTCCTTCTTCTCATTTTCTGCCTGCCGGAGATAGCAAGTGGTGGGCGGGAACTTCGCCGTATCAAAATTGATGTGGAGACTCACACCGGGTAATAACATGTAATAACATATTCTTGTCGGGTTGGAAGTGGTTTCATCCTTCGCAAATAGGAAGTGAGATTCAGTTTGGCGTAAAAACAGGCGTGTATCACTGCACCTTGCAGCCAAAACAAGGTCCCAAATCCAAACTCAATCTGCTGCTTGTTTTACTTCCATGGCAACCCAACTATCCAGACTTACAGAAAAATCTCCCAAAATCTCAAAATCAGCATTTTTCAGCATCAGCCATCTGCCAATGGCTCCGCACCCTTTCAGCACCGTAGCCGCGACGGTCCCTCGGTGCCTCTGCCGAAATGGCTTCGCTGAAGGATTTCAGCAGCCGTTCGTTGGTGCTGGTCATCACCCGCAGCAGCACCGTCCGCACCTCCGTGTCCTCCGAATCCTCAGATGGCGGAGGTCACCAAGAAAAACTGGGGACTTCAATGGACCCAAGCAATAAAAATGGAGATTTAAAACGTTTTGACCAAGCAAAACCTGGGGAGTTGTTCAGATTGTTCACCAAGAAAAAAATCGATTGCACCAACCGAAACCAAGAAAAATTGGAGACTCATCACCAAAATGGGGACTTAACCTTGCCAACCAAAACTGGGACCCAAAATTGGCTGGTTGAAGGGACAGGTTGAAGGAAACCATATTTTCAGTGTGAAGAAACAACTCATCCTACTCATAAAAGCTTACAGTAACCTCTCTTGAACCGTTTTTGCTAATGGCCTACAGCACACAACATGTTTAGGCGCAAACGCCTCCAACTATTGAAAAACCATCACAACTGACTAAGCAAATGCCAAGAAAGCGGGATTGATAGCCACCACGGCCTGCATTGCGGGGTCAGAGGGTTTCCTCTGCATACAAAACTCAGGCCATCAAATGCAACGTCCTCAAACTGATCTGCGTCAATTTGCAGTATAGAATCCTCTCATTCACTGTGAGCTAAGGAGTTTTCAGGGCAGTGACTCGCGGTCAATGAATCCAGTCTGTCCTCACATTTCCCCACAGAATCTTAGAAATATGTTTGGCCATAGACCACCAAACAAATGTGGACATGCTTCAACCTCCACACCAGGGCCTTCAGGCTGTCCAATAGCACGTGGGGCTTCATTCCCTCGGTTTTCAAAAGTTCACCTGGCCGTGCTGTTGGTACCTCCAAAAAACCCTCGGTCCAAAACCGTGAGGATTCATGTGGCTGGTCTAGTACCCATGTATACAATCCACGATCCATGCTACGATCCATCACTTTCTTTTAAATTTAAAAGTCAAATTCAAAAAAAATGTACAAAATGTCATAGCCTGCTGATTCTTTTCACATCTATCTATGTGTATATATTAAGATGATCTATATAATCTATATAATCTATATAATCTATATAATCTATATAATCTATATAATAATCATCTAAACCAGTACATGGCGGATCACCTCAGTAAGTCTTAACTGTGAATCTCCCATTCTTCAAGGCTGGCTTCTAACACCCCACAAACACCCGTTGGGACCAGGCAGCAGGTGGCCTTCGGCCCGTTGCAAACACTTCAAGGCCGCCTTCGTCGCCAAGCGCGGCCGCAAGGCACTACTGGCCGGCTCCAAGGCGATGTGACGCAGGTCGTATTCCTACAACGGCCGGACAGGCGATGCATGGCGATGCGATCCAGCCAGGGGGTTTAACAAAGATGGGGAGCAACCCAAAACAAACAAGATCTCAAAAAAGTGGTAAACAATAATAGCTGATAGCTGTTGGGCCTCTGTTTGGGGGGAAACAAGTTATATTGCGTCGAGTTGGTGATTTTCGATGGAGATCCTCGTTGGAGTCGTAACTCAGTCAGTTGACTCAGTTACTATCAATTGATAGTGTCGCACAATCAGAATAACTGAATCCGGACCCCAACATGAAGAGATTCAATACATAGGGGGGGTGTTTGTCAATCAGAAGGGCCTTAACAAAATAACTCCTTTCAAGACAAAAAAGGGGTCCTTAGTCCTTTTGGTCCTGTCAATACTTCAATGCGGTCCTTAGTCCTTAGTCCATTGACGATCCTAACGTGAAGCCCCAGAATCACCAGAATCGTTGGTCATTCCTTGTGCAGCTTGGCAGTTTCGCATGGCGAAGTCATCCAAGTGACTGGTCAAGTGTGCAGTTTCAGTGGTCCTGACTTTGACCAGTCCCCAACCATCAGTGCATCTCCGGTCAGCGCGCCTGAGCAAACTGCATGAAGCTGGTGAGTTGTTCCTCAGTCATGGCGAACTGTGCACCCCAGGTGAACTTGTCCAACCGGGGGATGGGTCAAAATTAAAATCCCAATGGGCCCAATGGTAGTGGATCATCAACTATACCCTCTGGTTATGTCAAAATAGCTATTGAACATGGCCATTTATGGTGGAATTTCCCATGAAAAATTGTGATTTTCCATAGTTATGTGGCTGTTTACCAGAGGGTAGCTATTTGGATTATCATCCCTAATACAAAATGTTGGGAGAAAACGTCCACTTCTTAGTACCAGGTTACCAGCATCCTCGAGCGATTCAGTCTTTGACCCATCCTGCGGTGCACCATCTGCCATCCACCAAAACAAACTTGAAATCTTGGCCCTAAAAGAACCATCCACCCAAATGGTTTCACTGGGTTGTTGTCATCCATCTCCCAACCATTTACAGCATACTATAGATATATTCGTATATCAACTAACGTCCCGTCACAATACGAACAATCATAATAGTAATGAATATAAGTATACATATTATATTATATGTATATATGATTAATATATATATATATAGTGCACATATATATATATATGTACTATACACTATATATCTATATTAATACATCATATAAATATTATTTATATTATATTAATGTATTATATCAACCACCGCCATTTTTCCAAGGCTCCACCGGCGCCGTGTTCACCGCCTCGAAGGTGAACATTTCGAGGCCCCGGCAGCTCCGCTCCAAGCGCTGCTGCAGCGCCGCGTCCTCCGCACCGCCCAAGGGCCAGGCGACCTTCAAGGCTTCCAGGGCCTGGCT